CAAGGTTAGTCCTAACAGATCCAAAAGAGGATGATACTTTTGTTGCGTATATTTCATTCCCGATGATCAAACCCTCCGCAATTGCTCAATTACTAATTGTCGTACAACTTAGAACTGCAAACTTGAAGAGGTTGATCGACTTGGACTAGGTGTTAATCTCTTTATCACATGAACGCCGCTCGATTTGGGTAAAACCCGGGATGGAGAGCCATGTAGAAGGATAAGCGTGTAGTATCAACACATTACAATGAAGCTGAGGCAGTATTTCTTCTTCTTCTTGGAGAGGCTACCCCAGAGCAGATTGTTGAAAATGGCCAAGAATGGCCAAAGATGAAGTAGCCGATGTTTGATGAGATTCCCCCCCCCCCTAGTTGGTGTTATACTAGAGTATAGACGGTAAAAACGGCTTAATATCTGCAAAACAACTTTTCCATGTATAACCCTTGATGATGATACCCGAGTACTCTGTAAGCATATCGGAGACCCATACCCCTGGACAAAGACAAAGAAGCCCAGCCCTTGGCACAAGACATATTTACGCAACAACTGAGCAGTCACTGAGAACATGCCATACATACCACAAAATCTCAGCTGCCTAACTTGAGGCCAAGATACCGGCGCTTGCACAGCCTTCTGGCCAACATTCCGTCCTTGTTTCACTAGGTAAAGGAGGAACCCACCAGGCGCATATCCTGCTCGGCATTATTTGCTCCCGGGTGTAAAAAACATCGATAGTCTCTAAAATATAGTGGCCTTAAACTTGAAACACATGTGGATTTTGTAGTCTTGAAGTCTTACATCCAAGTGATGATTGATCATAGGAGATGGCCAACATCGGTCAATATTTTCCGCCTCATAGTTAAGGCACTAACTGATGGAGTCTATCAACACGTGATGTGGAGTTCTGCCACATTTGACCGATTAGAAAAAAAAAAGTAGCAGAATGATTTCCGCCCGCAGAGATCAATAATCTAGACCTGCAAAACACAAGGCCCAGGTGATACGAGACAAACCCCTGATTGCTTTGTTCCAGTGTCAATTATTACACTGTCGCAGGACCAATCAACAAAATGCCTGGCCCCGTGGACACCGCAAAGTCCATCAACAAGCGCAAGAGAAAGCACGGCTCAAAAGCAGAGAGCGATGTCGCCAAGCCCGTGGAAGCCAAATCCAGCCCTGCAGTGACCCCGAAAAAGAGCGTTGCTTCGACCCCGAAGGCTTCAGCTGAGAAGTCTACCAAGAAGCGCAAGGTCAGCCCTTCACCCAGCGCCGAGGAAGAAAGCGACGACGCCGAGGTCGTTGAAGATGTCGAGGAGGTAGATGCGGAGGAGAGCAGTGATGCTGAAGACACCGAGGCTGCGAATGGTACGGATCTTCCTACTATGGAAGATGTCCGTTTGCCCCAGACCGAGGGCAAGCTGCAGAAGTTCACCGAGCTCAACCTTTCCGAGAAGACCATGCAGGGTATCAACGACATGGGATTCACAACCATGACTGAGATTCAACAACGTACCGTTCCTCCTTTGCTTGCTGGACGGGATGTTCTCGGTGCTGCGAAGACCGGTTCCGGAAAGACTTTGGCCTTCCTGCTCCCCGCTATTGAGATGCTTCACGCCCTACGCTTCAAGCCCAGAAATGGTAAATTCCTCTTTCCATACCTTTATTTGATATTTACTTGCCATTGGGACTGGAGTTTCTAACTTTTCGATGCAGGTACTGGTGTTCTCGTCGTTTCCCCTACTCGCGAACTGGCACTGCAGATCTTCGGTGTCGCCCGTGAACTTATGGCCCACCACTCGCAGACATACGGTATCGTTATCGGAGGTGCCAACCGTCGCGCTGAAGCCGAGAAGCTGATGAAGGGTGTGAACCTGCTCATCGCCACACCCGGTCGTTTGCTGGATCACCTCCAGAACACCCAAGGATTCATCTTCAAGAACCTGAAGACCTTGGTCATTGACGAGGCAGACCGAATTCTCGAAGTCGGTTTCGAAGATGAGATGCGCCAGATCGTTAAGATTCTGCCCAAGGAAGAACGTCAGACTATGCTCTTCTCCGCCACACAGACCACCAAGGTCGAGGATCTGGCCCGGATATCCCTCCGCCCCGGACCGCTTTACATTAACGTCGACCACAGCAAGGAGCACAGCACAGTGGCGGGTCTGGAACAAGGCTATGTGGTGTGTGAGGCAGACAAGCGTTTCTTGCTTCTCTTCTCATTCCTCAAGCGTAACCTTAAGAAGAAGATTATTGTCTTCTTCTCGAGCTGCAACTGTGTCAAGTACCATGCTGAGCTTTTGAACTACATCGATCTTCCCGTTCTGGAGTTGCACGGAAAGCAAAAGCAGCAGAAGCGTACCAATACTTTCTTCGAGTTCTGCAATGCCAAGCAAGGTACCTTGATCTGTACTGATGTTGCTGCTCGTGGCTTGGATGTATGTTTCCCAGCCCGCATTATCACGTTTATTCCATAATTGACTCAAAATTCCAGATCCCCGCTGTCGATTGGATTATCCAGTTCGATCCTCCTGATGATCCTCGTGACTACATTCACCGTGTCGGACGTACCGCCCGTGGTGCCGAAGGCAAGGGTCGCAGTCTGATGTTCCTCCAGCCTTCCGAGGTTGGTTTCTTGAAGCACCTCAAGGACGCACGTGTGCCTGTCGTGGAGTTCGAGTTCCCGGCCTCCAAGATTGTCAATGTGCAGTCTCAGCTGGAGAAGCTCATTGGCCAGAACTACTACCTCAACAAGGTATGCTATCTTCCCCATCCTCTTATTTATGTGTTATTTGTATACTAACGTACTTGTGCAGTCCGCCAAGGATGGTTACCGTTCTTATCTCCAAGCATACGCCTCGCACTCCCTTCGAACTGTGTTTGACGTGAACAAGCTTGACCTCGTCAAGGTTGCCAAGGGCTTCGGCTTCAATGCCCCGCCTCGCATTGACATCCAGCTGGGCTCCAGCCTCAGCCGCGATAAGAAGCAGGAGCAGCAAGGTCGCCGCACATACGGCAGCCAGCCCAAGAACGGTGCTGGACTGAAGTTCAAGCGGAAGCACAATGACTGAGAACAGACTGTATGAACATCAAAAGCGATCGATTGTCTCTGCATATTTATTTTAGGGACATTGGAGTTCAGCAATGTGGATATATCTATTTGGGTTTCAATTTTGTCCCCTTATTCTGTAATCATGAGAGAGATGGCGAGTTGAATATTCGTATGGCTAGTGGTGGGATAGTCGAATGCATCTTGCTCTATGTATAGATCGTTCTCTTCTTGTCGCCTCCTTGCGTCCTGATCAATGGTTTGTACTTACGGAGTACCGTAACCGCAGTAGCCAGACGCTCAGCCTAGGAGATCAGCTTGGGATCTGTTTGGTCAATTCCACATATCTAGACGCCAATCAGGAAACCTCTGACTGTGCGATAGCCGTAAGGATTACTCCTTCTCTCACGGAATGCCACAGCAAGCATTCATTGAGCCATGTGGGCTTCGGACTTTTTCCACGTGGGAGGGGCTTACCAAAGAAGAATAAGAGAACTACAGAAGGGGTATGTACAACAAAAATCCACATACTATAAGAATATCCTTACAGAAGTACGGAGTACATATTGGTACCTACATGTAGTCAGTTCTGCAAACCTCCCATACCTGCCGAAGCGATCCAATTGGAAGATGTCAATCTTACACAGTATTGAGGACAAGCGATCGTTTGCCAATAACAGAGCCAAATTTGGAAGTAGCTCGATTGCCACTAATGCACGAGATGCAGCAAGTCCTCAACCCCCAGCTGCGCAAGTAAACTTGATGATAATTGCTTGTGCCCCCTTGCAAGGGCTACGTATAGTTCTGTCCAGTCATAGAGTGAGATCACGGATAGTGAATTTGGGGCCAAAAGGCGGGAAATAGTGTCGGTGTATTCCATATCCCAGCGATAGGCCGACCATTTTTATAAATCCCACAAGAAACCCAATCATTCCAACATGGAGAGGTTGGTAAGGTTGAAAGCCTGAGCACACGAGTGTGATGAGTTGGCAGATGCTGGACCCAATCATCCGATCTCCAGGGTCTCTGTCGTCTGGGCGACGGTGTGCTTGTTCCGGTTCCTTTGCCTTGTCTTTTGCGGGTCTCACGGAGAACTGCGGGTGGACCTTGTATGTCCGTGTGTGACGGGTACGAAGTGTTTTGTCATTTTCAGGGTGTTGATGGAAAATTGTACTCCGTATGTTGCGTTAGGTGGGTTGGATTTGCCAAGATTACCCCCAGCCACGAAGCAGAGGTTATACAGAGTAACGTTTTCAAGATTGGGAGATGGATACCTAGGTCAATGATTGATATTGAAGATGGGATATAAAATGAAGTCAAAAAGGAGATGAACCAAGGAACCAAAAGACGATCCCGAATGGATCCCACCCCGTTTGTTTACAACAGTACCTTCGTAGTACATAGTAGCTATCGGGTACTCTTTGTATGGTGGCCCACGCGGCTCGGGACCTGGGATGTACAATTAACACATCCAGCCTCTTCAATTTTTTAAATTTTTTTTTTGTGAGGCTGGGCAATTATCTTAATTATCTCGGGTACCGGCTGATATTCGCCTGACTATCCCTAACTATCCTAACTATCCTATCCTTTGCTTCATCTTTCATTCCTAGAGATCTTGAATTCTTTCCCCTTTTCTCATATTTTCATGTGAGGGATCGGCGAGCTTCGACTGTAACACCTTTGGGCTCACCGTTGCTTTTCTTTCTCCCTCTCCTTCCTAATCCCACATTCTTAATTCTTCCCCACTGTTCCGTGGTCTCTGCGCTGGTACGCTCTCAACTCCTATCAAAATAATTCTTGGGATCTCTTCTTGAGTTCCTACAATTTATCACTTCCCCGCTATCGTGCCAACAAGCGCGGAGCAATAGTGATCACCCCAACAACACTCCCCTCATCCTCCCATCACCTTGGTCGAGCACGGAGCATGCGATTGGGTTGAAGACGCCTCACCATCATGGGGGTCAACACCCGCAGACCGATTCTTCCCGCCCCCACAGAATCCATCATCGATACGGGGGATAGCGCAACGGGCACAGATCTGGCAACTGACATTTCTCGCCGCACAGACAAAACGTCGTACTCTATCCCAGACGACGGTAGCCCCATAACTGTCTCCACTCGGCGACAGCGGGACCGCGAAGAGAAATTGTCTCGAGCTCAACACGATTCTCACACCTCATTACTCATCGAGTATTTCGAGGGCGGCAAAGGTTCAAGCGGCATTGTCTCTCGTCCCAGCGTGCGAGTACGTGTTACACCATCGTCGGCGAGAAAGTCCAGGGACAGAAAAGACCACTTGCAAATCACCGAATCAAGCGGAAGCGGTAGCCGCAAACCCTCATACACCCACCGGATATCCTTACCATCACCATCCTCAAAGCAAAAGCAATTGGACTCGGTCGCAACGGATGACCACAGCCTTGCGTCGAATTCAGCTGAGGAAGACGGTCATCATTCATCACGTCGCGAGCCGGTAGAGATCGAATTTGTGAACCGCGGACAGGAGAGCGAGATGTCTTCCCTCTCGCAAGACACCCGATACCTGCCCATGTCATCGGAGGTTTCGTCCATGCCGCCGGACAGCATGATCAACGCTTCGTCGGCGGGTCCCAGGCGAAAACGTAGCCAGAGTATGGAGCGTGGTTCGCCCCCTGAAGATGAGGGATTGCTCAAGACCCCTCACCGACAAAGAAGTCGCAGTTTGAGTCATGAACGAATTGCGCATCGTGTGGCAGAAAAGCTCACCGAATCGCCGCAAGAAGCTTCAAGCGGCAAACAAAAGAGCAGGGGCGGCAAGGATTACCTCGAAGCCGACACAAAGCCATCCCGTCGCCGAAAGCACAAGTATGCGGAAGAGGATATCACCAGTCCTGAATCTAGTCTTCTCAGCACATCTGCAGTCTCTTCAAACCACAAGTCCGATCAGTACTCGATTCGCTCCGGTGCATCCAAGACCTCTATTAATAACCCCAAATTACTCGAGACGGTTGAAGATGCTATCAGGAGATTGATCCTACCGGAGCTAAAGGAGCTTAAGAAGGACCAAAAGGTCATGACCAACAAGAGCAAATTCGACCGGGACATGGCTACATCTTATTCATCTGGCACGAGCTCCAGAGATGAGCTAGGCCGACGTCTCTCCAAGCACGCTAGTGCGCCGGATGTCATGAAGCCCAAAGTTGTTCTGAACAAGGATAGCAAAGACGAAGGCATTGTTCTTTCTCCCGAGACGGCTCCACGAAACACAGAGCGCAAATCAAGTAAAAGCAGTGAGAGCTCCGATATGGCGGTGAGATGGGCCAATCGACCCGACTACACCGAACAAGACAAGATCCGCAGGCAGAGGAGCAAGGGTCTTCGCGACGCTCATGCTGCTGCCCGAGTCGGCTCTGCTCTCACAGCGGCTTCTCTGAAGCATCACGACTCCAACTCTAGTCTCGGCAGAAAGGAGCGCCGCCGAAACAGTGGCTCCCGGAAAAGTGGCTCACGCAAGAGCACTGAGAGTATGAACTACAACGAAACCGAACTTGTTTTCCAGAAGCACAATGTTGCGCCAATGCCAATGCACAGCGAGATCGACTCCGAGTTAACCAGAAACTCGTTGCTCTCAGAGCGAACGGCAAGTCCCACTCCCGAAAAACAGCCCTCCTACTTCGACGTTGCTCGCGGGTCACCGAGGCAGGCCATGTCGCCAGCTTCTCGCACCCCAACTAGAAATTCCGTCGACTCGCGTTATGAGCTCGGAATGCGCCATGGCAATCAGTCGCACCATAATATCTCGGTGCACAGTGCTTCGGAGCGTGACCTACATCACCAGAGCCAATCTCCTGGAACTGACGGTGGTAACTGGGCAATTGCAGCTGCAGCCGCAGCCAATCTCCTTGACGCCGCTCACCCCGGACATAACGAAACGCAAACGCAAGATGACTACCACAATGAGACCACTGGCCGCGGGCTGAGCCCCATTCAGAGTATTGCGAGTGATCATACCCAGACTCACTACGACAATTACTCGGCTCACGGCGAGCAGCAAGTTGACAGAAATCATGAGGTTGAGCCTCGACTCTCCATTGACACTCTGTCATCCGCCCCCAGTACAAACCTCGCGAGATCCACCCGCCAGGGCACCAGTTCACACAGCCAGAGTGGAATTTTCAAACAGCACAGCCAGGAATCACCTGGGCTCGGATACGAACATTCGCTCCAGGGCTCCCAAGACAATGGATTCTATGGCTATGACGAGGAGAGCAGGCGCTCTGGAGACAGCGATGTTGACTTCATGGATAAAGTCAAAGAAGGCCACCATGTGGCTACTGGCGTTGCTGCTAACCCTCAATTTATGCACCCAATCGCCGTCGAATCTGCAGTCGCTTCCTTGATGGATCCCTCTGTCCTTGAATCTCAGATCTCATCCACGAACCGCTCGCAAACCGATATGGCTCAACGACCACGCAGCCGAAGCCCTGAAAAGGTAGGAAGCGAAGTCTACCGCGGAAGCCCCTTGAAGCAACGCCAGGATGCTTTCAATGCCGATGAGACCTCTTTCCCTCGCCGTATGGGTGCTACATCCCCCCCTCAGAGCGTTACCCAGTCCTTCGAGGACATAGACGACTCTGCTATGATGGCTAACAATGCCCCGCGTGAAATGCAGAGTCCTCACCCAGATGCTGAAAGCCAAGAATCGGAGTCTGAAATCAACACCAATCCGTCCATTATACAGGGCCCCATTGGTGGTGTCGCTCAGGCAGATCACTGGGGATACGATTCAAAGTCTCCGCCGGCAGATCACTACTACGATACCCAGATCGGTGGATCTAAGGGCCTCAATGCTGAGCAGCAGATAGGGCTTGATGCGGAATACTACCAAACTGCTCAGAATATCTTCGGTGGCGATGACTACTCTGCCCACTCTGGCGAGAATCACTCTGGCGAGAATCACTCTGGCGAGAATTACTCTGGTGAGAATTACTCTGGTGAGAATTACTCTGGTGAGAATTACTCTGGCGAGAACCAACCCCGGCCATTGTTTGGTACCCCTCCTGGTGCTAAGGATGAAGGTTATGTTTCGGCTGCCAACCCCATGTCTCCCAGCATCGGGACCCCGAAGCAAGCTAGTCGAGGACTTGCAGGTGCGGATGCCGCTGGAATGGGTAGTTTCGATAGTTCTGCTGGAGCAGATGATCCTTTTACCTCTGGCAATGAACGCCACTTCAGCGGCTACTCTCACGGTGTTGGTTCACCACTCTACGACAGTGCCACCGGCCGAGGTATCGAGAGAATTCAGTCTCAGGATATTGTGGCTCTCATGGATCATTTGACTGTTCGGGATGCCCAGCGGAATGCTAGAGATACTGAAATTCTGGTTACTTTGGTTCGAAGTGCTGCTGAGATGCGCACCTCCTTCGAGCAGATGAAGAGATTCATCGCCGACCAAGATGATCTCATCATGGACACTAGCGACAGGGGACATGAGCGGACCCACAGGGCGCTTGGTGGTCCCCGGCCATTGCCCCCCAGCGCTCCTCGGAATCGGCAGCTGAACACGGCTGACGAGGAAGACAAACGGAAGAGTATCTTTAAGCGTGCGCTGAAGGGATTGAGCCTCAAGTCGGGCAGCGATTTGACCAAGATTGAAGGCATGCTCGAGCAGTTGCTTGGCGAGGTTGAGGCCCTGCGATCCGGACAAGATGGCTTCAGCCCTCACAGTGCCACCAGAGTGGGAAGCATGGAGCCAAGTGGGTACGAGACTCCCGGTCCAAACGGAGCACCTGTCGAGACGAGCCGCTCTCCCTACGGGTCCAGCTCTTCTCGCCCGGCCAATGGACAACGCAGAGATTCGGACCAACGAGTCAGCACCGTCCACGAAGTTGACGAAGACCTTGAGCTTGACGATAGTGACCAGTTCCTGACATCACATCTCCCTGTCCGTGATGCGCCCCATCACGAGCGGTCTGGTTCATTGCCCCTTAATACGCCTCCACGTAAGCCAGTGGCCACATCAGCTCGCAGCACCGAGACAACCCCCAAGGCCCGCAAGCACAAGTCCAGCAGCTCGTCCATTTTCCCGAAGATCTCCCGCTGGTCTAAGTCCACGGCCACCTCCATGGGCGATGGCATTCGCAACAGCATCCAACCCTCCCGCAAAGAACGTCCGACCTCAGATGAGTCTCGATCTGGGTCTGATCTCGCACCCCATGGCGCCTACAAATATTATGATCCCCAGGGAGACGACAGAATTCGATCCACTTATACCTTGGCCGACGAGCAAGATGAGAACAGACCCCCTTCGCCATTAGTTCCTTCCCAGGTGTCTGAGGCGCCCAAGTACCGTGGCCACCGTGGGAGTCTCGAGCTGCAGCACCCCCAGCCTCGACAAGGCCCAACCGGACGTTACCAGTCCCGCCTCGAAACCGAGGCCCAGATCTACGGAGGTCCAGTTTCTCCCGCTGGCTCAGACCAGTGGGAATCCAACCCTAGCCTGTCTGCGGCTAACCCTCCCCAAAACCGCAACAGCGGTGTCAGCGGTGCCACGCGTCTGTCCCCGATCTCCGATGCAGGCTACTCGGAGACCAGCTCCCGCGCAACCCGTACACCGGGTCCACCCCGTCCTCCTAAGGTCAAGGACGCGGGTCCTCTCATTCCCGAGCGTCCACCCAAAGTGGCCGATGACGAGGAACCAGCTTACAGCGGCGACCGTGCTGTTTCCAGAGTATGTATCCCAGAGCCTGCCTCCTTACCGTTTCAATCGAGCAAATTCTAATTTTCACCCTCTTCAGAGCTCTGCCATCCGCTCTCCCCCCACACGCAAGCCGACTGGCCCGCGTCCTCTTACATCCGCCGGCCCCTACAGCCCGGGCAATATCAACCGAACCCACTACCGAGGCAGTCCCGCGCAAATCGACTATGAAGACGAGCAATATTGAGACTTGCATTGTGATACCCCTGGGTTGATATTTTCAATCTCCGTTTCCATCTAGCGCTTTTATCTTTTCTTCATATTCTCCTTACGACAGTCATGACCGTTCATCGGGACTCTGGTTTCAGTTCCTTTATCCCCAAATCTATGAGCAATGTGTGTGCGCGTGTTTAAATGTTTACAATATTCCTGCCCTTTCATGTTTTATGTTAATGGTCCAAAGGATGAGCGGGAAGTTATGTCTTCTCTTCGCCTCCATGACCTTTTCTAAGTTAACTTTCTTGTGCCTTTTTTTTTTTTTTTTTTTTTTTCCCCATGGTCTTGCCTTCGGGCATGCAGTTGCTCTCGTGCATCTGGTGAGCGTGCAGGGGTTTAAGCCTCTTTGTAGCTTTTGTGTTGTGGTGTAGATAGTGGTGCAGAGGAAGACATAATCTATTCCGATTTCGAAGAGTGGAATTATCTTTTGCGTCTTTGTGTTACCTTTTGTAGTTGTCAAGGTTATACCAACAAAGCCTCATGTAACATTGGAAGGGAACTTCTGCCCAGGTGGCTCTTTTCCTGTTACAACCCGAGTACTTGTAGCTTCCTCAATTGTAAATAGTAGCCATGACTTCTTCCTCAATAAATGGTATTCACTTCCTTTTTAACTTTCTCAGTACGAAATAATCATATATTCAGAAATAACCTGAGGCAAGCCTGAGGGCTTTCAACTATGTGTTCCAAAGACTGGGAAGAATACATTTCTAACTGCCCTTGCCATAGGGATACTGTTTAGCAGGGATGTGGCCAGCCTGATTGGCAAGCTGGTCCTGTTGGACGCCTGGAAGAATGCAGCATGTGAATCAGCAACGAAGGCCCAACATCGAGCGTGCCCAGCATGTGATCTGCCTCAAACCCCTGCCCCGACTTCTATATTCTTCCCCTCTGCCTCGCTCCCTCTGTGGTGCGTGGCACGGCTTACAGACCCTTCGTCCTCTGATATCCTTGAACTTGCACAGTGAATCGTTGCCGGATCGGCGCCAACGTCGAACTCCTTGTCCTTCGTGGCCGGACTCGTCAAGCGAGTCGTGCGCGAAACAGCCCCGATCAACGTCGGTTGGGATGCGGCTTGGTGGGATATGGTGGAAATTGCTGGTGTTACTTGGGACCAGAACCTTGCTTTCGTAGAAGGAAATCGTACTTATAGCTGGCGGAGACATAAGAGTAACATGATTCGCCCTGCGGATGGCCTTGCTTTTGGGCTGGTCAGCTGCCGACAGACTTGACAGAGGCTGCCTTGTCCTGACAGGCTGATGATGCATCGGCGTCTCTGTAGGGTCTGCCGTGGCGATGTCCACAGCGGCGGCATGTTGACTGGTATCACTCGTTGTACCATCTAGATTGCTATCGGCCGTTGAAGCCGGCGAAGTGTTACAGCTGCTGGAGGGGCTACGTGCGAGTGTCTCTTCCTGTTCGCTTGGAATTACTGTTGCTTGGCTCCAGTTCTGGAACGCCACCTTCATACCGGCAATGTTCTTTGCTTCCGCGAGGAAAGATGCTCCGAGGTGCAGGTTAGTCAGCTCGTTGAAGCGATCGATGGTGGTGATGTCGAGGATAGAGTCCACGCCGATGGAGTCGAACTCAGTGTTCGGTGCCAGGACGGCTAATTATTCACCATGAGTCTCCGAGACTCGCTGGTTTGAGTCAGTTTCTGTAAGCAGGCTTTACCATCTGCTACGAGAACCCCCGAGCTTTGAACCTGGGAAAGGTGAGGATTGAAAGTGAACGGCATGCCTGGCTGCGGCGGTATTATTCCGGTTTTCAAAATCATAATGGATTTGATGATCGAAGTCACTCCTGCAGTCTATGGATGCGAAGATCTGTTTAGCATGGCATCATGATATGAGGGTGGGGGGGACCAACCGCTCCAGCATGGCCAACATTGGCCTTCATTGCTCCAATAATCAGAGGTATGTTACCTGTCTTTCTTTCACCAAATGTATTTCCAACGGCCGTCACTTCTGCGAAATCGCCAGCTTGCGTACCGGTCCCATGCATCTCAACATAGCCAATACTAGCGGGGCCGATCCCACCTTGGTGCAGTGTCTTGCGGAAAAGACGTTGCTGCGCATCTGGACTCGGGTGCGTGATAGAGGTGGCATGAGCACTATGGGTCCCTCCCTGGCCTCGAATGACTGCCTGGATATTGTTATTGTCATACACCGCATCCTCCAGCCGTTTCAACACGAGAATGCCCACCCCTTCAGCGCGACAATAGCCGTCCGCGTTCTGTTGAAAGGGCTGACATGGACCCGTTGGAGATAGGAATCCACCCTTCTTCAACCCCGCAAACATCGTCGGAGACGCAAGAGTTTCAGCGCCCCTAGCTAGCGTAGTATCGCACTTCCCCGCGATAAGTGCTTCACAGGCTAGACTGATTGCCGACAAACTGGACGCACAAGCTGAATTGACACTGTACGAAGGATACTCCGCCGAAGACGCTCTATCCACCCGCGGCAGCCGTATAGCTACATTCATTGGCCAGACGACCGACGATTGGCGGGATGTGACTGCTAGCCACGGTATTGACATCTACTATATCCCCAGTCTCCTCCGCATATTTGGCCCGGGTCGCTTACATTACCATTTCAAATGGGAGGGCCCGGTCCGTTGTAGGGCTTCGTAGGTGACGGCGAGCAGAAGAAGCTGGTTGGGGTCCATTTGTAGTGCCTCCCAGGGGGAGATGTTGAACAGTTGATGGTCGAATAGACCGGGTTGCTCGAGAAAATAACCGTTTGCCGCGTAGCCCACACACGCCTGTCCCATCAAATGGTTGCTCACGAAGGTCTTGCCTCGCTAGTGGACTTCACTTTCGGTGAGCTACTTAGCTACAGCTACTATCTCACCAACACCCTGGTCAAATGGGGCCCCAGCCAGGAGTCCAGCGAAGGGGCCGTTAACTACGCCCGTGACACAGCCGATAATTTCTACGACTACATCGACCGCAACAAGGAGGCGCAAAGCGCTTCAACAAGATGATGAAATTTGTCTCCTCCACTGAACTGACAAACATGGATGCAGTCTATGAGGGATTTGACTGGGAGAAGACGGGAAGCAGTCGTCGTGGATGTAAGGAAAGCCCAAGCCTTTCTCCAGGTCTTCCTTCTGTAATACGTTCGCAGAACTTGCTAATAATTCTATATCTATTAGGTCGCCGGCTCTGTAGGCCACATCAGCATTCGGCTTGCTCAGCGCTATCCCAAACTCCATTTCATCGTGCAGGATTACGAACCCGTCTGCCGCCGGGGCGAAGCGATGCTCCCGGTAGAAGTACAGAACCGCGTGCGCTTCCAACCATACGACCTCTTTGAGTGGAGCGATAAATACGCCAGCCATATTCTGCGGGCGGTTGCCGCCGCCCTTAAGCCTGGGGACAGAATTATTCTCAATGAGCAGATTATGCCCGAGCCGGGCACTGCTGCGCCTGCAATCGAGCAACTGACGAGGTAAGTGTTATAAAGGGAAAGCAAACGGGGGGGGGGGGGGTGAATGTTTCCATGGGGAAGCTTTTCATGTGCTGACTACGGTAATCTTTGTTCAGATCCTCTGACATGACCATGTTGAGCATCTTCAATGGCCAAGAACGAACGAAGGAACAGCTTCGGGCTTTGGTTCAGCCCGCACATCCTGGGCTGCATGTGCTGAAGGTCATAACACCGCTAACCTTAGCACTGGGTATAGTGGAAATATGCTTGAAAGATAGCTGATTGAAATTGAAGAGACAGCATTAATTAGTCTTGGGCATAGGAGACCCTGTGGGACAAATTTTGAACGCCTGTCCCATTCGGCCCATGAATTAGCATAATTTATATGCAAAATATCCAAATTGACTAGTAGAAATTATCGCTATCACAGCACAACTATAGTAAATTATAGAAGAGACTATATGTCACTCAAATTGCGCACAAAAGGATATTAAAATCGATCACAATCATTCATTTGCTATACTTTTTCTCTACATCCGAACATCCTCTGCCCCTATGGATTGATTTATATATCATTATACTATACTATATATGACTATATAGTTAGATTTCTATTAGTTATAATCCTGGAATCGTTCTAATTTTAATTAATACTTGTTCAATTGACTATTGAAGATTCCGCTAATCACGTATCCAGTGAGTTGGCTTCGCGATTGCGCTTCGCACTCCCCTCTAACCCGTATAAGACATCCTCCGACATGCCTGGGATCACCATGTCGAACGTCTCCGTCACCACCGTGTACTGATAGTACCCACAGCGCGCGATCGGCTTCGTTTTCTTGATGTCCAGGATTCCATCCGTCAGCACCTCGTCCTTGATATGCACAGCAATCACCCGACCGATCACCACGTCCACGGTGCCCATCGGAGGGTTCCCCGGTAGCCGCACGGTAGAATGGTATTCGCACTCGAATTTCACCGGCGACTCCAGCACCATAGGGACATCTATCAGCGTGGCCGGCTCTTTAGTCACCTTGGCACGCTCAAACTCGTCTACCCCATAGGGTACTTGCTCCGCCGAGATGTTGACGGCCTCGCGGAGGTCCCATGTCGCCAGATTCCAGACAAAGCGTCCGGTTTGCTCTGCATTGACCACCGTATCCTTACGCGTGCCGTTCACGGTCTGGTTAGAAGAGAACATCACGTACGGCGGGTCGAATGTGAGATTGTTGAATTGGGAGTAAGGTGCCAAATTGGCTTGGCCCTCTTTGTTCTGGGTGGAGATCCATCCGATCGGACGAGGTACCACGCACGCCTGTCAGCGTTAGCTATGCCGTTCATTGTCTATCTTGGAGCCTCACTTTGAACGGGTCGTGGGGAAGACTGTGCTCTGTCACTCCGGGCTGGTAGAACATGATGCGCCTTGTTCTGTTTCTGTGCTTTCTGGGAGCCGACCCCTCTTATTTAAGTATCCCCCGCTGCCGATCGAAGTGCCGACACCATATAGGCTTCCTTTTAGGGCAAAAGCCGACCCTAGCGGCAATTATCCATCCGTATTATGACTATGACTTTGACATACGATTCCGAGTATGGAGTTCCCTTGGGTATGTACACATGCAGAACGAGCTCGAGTTCCATGGATCGACGTCCGGTAGCTCGGTAGCTCGGAGGCTCGGAGTGGGCCCTCCACACTATCCGAAGTGCCGAAGTGTACATGCAGCATCTCCAGAACTCTTGTGGATGAATCGGCCTGTCTTACTTGGATTTGTTGTGTGGCGAGCCGAGACAGCCATCATGAAGACTCTCCCGGGGGTATTTAAACTGGCTGGATTGTCAAGGACTGCTCTGATTCAAAAGTCCAACTCCACCCAACACATAACTACACAATCTCCATCTGCAAAGACAGATTGATAATGACCAACATTGAGCCCCACCTCTGCTTCCGGTCATTTGTCGAGGCCTTGAAGGCCGACAATGATCTAGTTGAGATTAACACCCCGGTCGACCCCAACCTCGAAGCGGCCGCCATCACTCGTCTTGTTTGTGAAACAGACGACAAGGCCCCTCTCTTCAACAACCTCATTGGTGCTGAAAATGGTCTTTTCCGCATCCTGGGTGCTCCTGCATCTCTCAGGAAATCCCCAAAGGATCGCTATGGTCGACTTGCACGACACTTAGCCTTGCCGCCGACCGCATCTATGCGCGATATCCTCGACAAGATGCTCTCGGCCAGCACCATGGCCCCAATCCCACCTAAAATTGTGTCTACCGGTCCTTGCAAAGAGAACTTCCTCGAAGGAAGCCAGATTGATCTGACTAAGCTTCCTGCGCCCATGATCCACAAGGCGGATGGAGGAAAGTACATCCAGACCTACGGAATGCACATTGTTCGGTCCCCCGATGGGTCCTGGACTAACTGGTCTATTGCCCGCGCTATGGTTTCCGACGATAAGCACCTGACTGGTCTGGTCATTGAGCCCCAGCACATCTGGCAGATCCACCAGGTGTGGAAGAAGGAAGGCCGCGACGTCCCGTGGGCTCTGGCATTCGGTGTTCCCCCTGCCGCCATCATGGCCTCGAGCATGCCCATCCCCGACGGTGTGACCGAGGCTGGATATGTCGGTGCCATGACTGGGTCCGCTTTGGATCTGGTCAAGTGCGATACCAATGATCTCTACGTGCCTGCCACCTCCGAGATTGTTTTCGAAGGTACCCTTTCTATCACGGACAAGGGCCCCGAGGGTCCCTTCGGTGAGATGCACGGCTATGTCTTCCCTGGAGATACCCACCTGTGGCCCAAGTACAAGGTCAACCGTATCACATACCGCAACAATGCCATCATGCCCATGTCGTCTTGCGGTCGACTAACCGATGAGACTGTAGGTCATACCACCCCTATCTTTCATTTCCCTACTAACAAGTATTAGCATACCATGATCGGCTCACTGGCCGCTGCCGAGATTCGCAAGATCTGCCAACAAGCCGGACTCCCGGTAACTGACGCCTTCGCGCCATTTGAGTCCCAAGTGACCTGGGTCGCTCTGAGAATCGACACCGCAAAGCTGCGAGAGATGGAGACCACCCCGAAAGAGTTCTCCAAGAAGGTCGGCGACCTGGTGTTTAACTGCAAGGCCGGCTATACCATCCACCGGCTGGTGCTTTGCGGCGATGACATTGATGTCTACAATGGCAAAGATGTTATGTGGGCTTTCTCGACTCGCTGCCGTCCTAACCTCGACGAGACCTTCTTCGAGGATGTGCGCGGGTTCCCCCTTATTCCATACATGTCGCATGGAAATGGATCACCAGTGCAGGGCGGAAAGGTTGTTTCTGATGCTCTGCTCCCCTGTGAGTATACTACCGGGAAAGATTGGGAGGCCGCCGATTTTGAGAGCTCGTACCCTGAGGAGGTCAAGCAGAAGGTTTTGGCCAACTGGACGAAGATGGGATTCCGGGAGGAGTAAATCAAGTTTGTACAGTACTTTGTGATTTTAAATAAATATTTAGGTAGATATTGGAATTTGTTGGACGTTCGTCTTGTGTCTTGGTAATATATACAGTAAAGTTGGGGTAATTTGTGTATAAATTACCGCTATTACGCCTGTATGGTATAAGCAATTATGTATTTTATACAATTTAATACATCATCATCGCACCAATTCTCTGCATAAATTATATACCTGTGGTCTATAATCGGATACTTGAATTTGACGTTTGAATTTGATACTGGCGAAGTCGTGCTTACTGCCGTAATACCCGAATGCCAGGTGGGTACCCGCCAAGAGCCGATTCGCGATCCTGTCCGATCGTTTTGGCAAGGCCTACATCGCTCAGTCTCAACAGCATAGCCCATATCACCCAGGATCGAGCTCGGATGCACGTTTTTATATTGAGAGAGCTCCGAAATTTCAACCGGTACAGCCTTTTGGCCAAGGTAATAACCCCTGTTAATCCCGGTACCTCGGAGTCCTCGGCAGTATGAGTGCTATCAGCCAAGGCGAAGCAGACCGGGTGCTACACCTCAAGAGTCGAGAGCGAGAGGCCCATGCATGTTACCCATGTAGAAAGCGGAAGGTTAAATGTGATGGAGTTCAACCATGTCATACCTGTCAGAAGCGAAAACACCCCGAGATCTGTGCATACGCCCTTTCGCATTCGAGGCGGAGATCAACTCGTCATAGTGTCGCACGCTCGGTTTCGCCCATATCACCGGCTGTAACAAGCAATGAACCGGCACGACCTGATGATAGCTCGAAGGATTATGTCTATTCTGGTGATAATTCGGTCGTTTCGATCCTGCGCCTGCGAGCATCGGACGCCAATGAATCGGTGGCCCGTGAAGTCGGATCTGTTCTTGGTCTGCGGAATACATTCAACAATTATCCTTTCATGGACTCGAAGACGCCGCTTGAGAGGTGGAAGGCACTGTTGACTGTAATGCCCCAGAGATCCGAGGTCTTGAAGTAGGTTGCAATCAACTAGAAAGGAATACGGCTAACCTGTTAGATTCTTCCACTTCTATCGTGTCACGGCATATCCATTCAATCCAATACTCGCTGACATAGACCGCTTTGAATCCGACTTGTGCACCTTTCTCAATGCCCACGCATCTGGTGAATTACACGACCCGGAGAAGATCACTGATCGTTGGGCGACCAACAAGTCAATTGGCCATGTCAGCCTTTTACTGGCAACATTAGCAGCAGGGGCACATTACTCCGATACTGAATATCTCGAACGACTTGAATTGTCAACTGACTTTGGTAAGCCTGACTGCACGCTCATCAAACTTGGCTAACGACATTCAGCCCGTCGATCATTTCATGCGCTCCGCTTAGCCAATTTCCTGTTTCGGCCATCACTGGATATTATACAAGCGCTGCTTATCTTGGGGAATACGTTGCAGAATATGGGACAGTCCGATGCCGCCTGGGCGTTACTGGGTACGACGATCCGACTAGCTCAGACCATGGGCCTACACACCGAAAAAAGTACTGTTCACTGGCCCGAGCAGGTGAGAATGAAGGCCAGAACTCTTTGGTATGAGCATCAAACTACTATAGGCATATCTGCTCGCATCACAGCTAAATTCCAACAGGTCAACAATTGTCTGGCAGGATAGTTTACTGTGCCTTTGCTATGACCGACCGCCTATTGTCTCTGTGACGGGATGGTCCCTCGCCAGCTCGTTTTTCGAGAGACAAGACTTGTCATTCGCAGAAGTAATGCATTTGCTCTGTCGTATCAGTCTGGATATTATGCGGCCGGAAACCCTCAGCGTCGCTGAACTTGATCGAGCACTAGAAGGGCTGCAGCGGCTGGATGACATTCACCAATGCGGCCTGCCATATCTTCGATCACGAGGAAATTGCACAACACTACAACAGCATCTCGAGTATTTAGCTCTCAAAATGCACACCTCCTTCTGTGTATCCGTCTTCTGCAGACCGGCAATGAAGCAATCCACCCAACAGCCTTTTCTCCCCCACGCTGGTATTCTTCGGGCTCGTGCCAAAGGGAGTTTGATCGATGCCTCCAAGGCATTTCTTGATTTCCAGGCTCTGAGTATTGTTCCGTTGCGGAGCTGGTCAATGGTGCATACAGTGTTGAGTTCAACCCTCCTTCTCTGCATCTGGGAAGAGACACGCCATGACCCCGAATGTCGCAATCTTCAACAAAAAGTTATCGACGTCTTCTCATCCTCTAATTCAAGAACCAACGATGACGGTCTTTCCTTTTCCGAAAGTGACAATCAGTGGTTGTCAGATCGTCACATCCGAGCCTTGGTAACCTTACGAAGTGCCTTGGAACGAGAGCAGGAGACGGGCACTACCGAGACGGAGAACTGGGCGGGAATGGCCACTAATGTGCCGCAATTTGGCCCTGGGTAAGTCTCCTATCTATGATGAAGATGAATGCTCATACCTGAACAGGCCCGTTGGGTACATGGACATGCCCGATCCATTCGACGTATCACCCGTCACGTATCTAGACTCGATCATGAACAGTAAGCACAGTTTTCCTAATTCCGACAATTAAAAGCTAACATATGATAGTTCCGATGTTTGATTATACACAGGAAAATGGATTCCTGTGAAAAGCCCAAACCTGATACCCGTGTGCGGTCGTAATGGTCAGCCAGAGACTTCAATCAATTACACTTTGACACAGCACACCGTAACGCACCCAGCTCAGGTTTTACGCAGATTTCTTTTATCAAATAGGGGCCATTGTGTCACCCATGGACGGTGATCCACGGGACGGTGATCCACGCAACCTTCGGATCTCGGCATCGGGGCCTCGGAGTGCTCCATTCGGGTCACCAAAATCTCTCCTGTATCTCGGACCACGCGATAAATTCTAGCAAGAAAACTGTGAGACCTAGATAATCGGCATTTCGCCACATATTAATATAAAACAGGCCAGGTTTGTCAGGCCCAGTTCATTCATCACACCAGTCTTGACAGCTTCACGGTATACCAACCAAACCCTCACTCAACAAGACCAAAACAACACACCCAACAAACCTCCAATCAACGCTTTCTCTTCTCTCCGGAACATACACCCCATCATTCAGCCGCCATTCTCCCGAAGACAGCCTAACCAAGCCGGCAATGCCAACCATCAATCACCATGTTCCTCAACAAGCCGGCCGCAGACGCATCGTAGTCGCCATGACCGGCGCAACAGGCGCAATCCTCGGAATAAAAGCTCTCATCGCCCTCCGTCGCCTAAACATCGAAACACACCTCGTCATGAGCAAATGGGCCGAGGCAACCATCAAATACGAAACAGACTACCACCCATCGAATGTCAGAGCACTGGCAGATCATGTCCACAACATCAACGACATGGCTGCGCCGATTGCTAGCGGCTCTTTCAAAGCTGATGGCATGATCGTTGTTCCATGCAGTATGAAGACACTCGCTGCTATTCACAGTGGATTCTGCGATGATTTGATCTCGCGTACTGCGGATGTCATGTTGAAAGAGAGACGGAAGCTTGTGCTTGTTGCGAGGGAAACGCCGCTTAGTGATATTCATTTGCGGAATATGTTGGAGGTTTCCCGTGCTGGTGCGATTATCTTTCCACCTGTGCCGGCGTACTATATTCGGGCTGCATCGGTGGATGACTTGGTTAATCAGAGTGTGGGGCGTATGTTGGATCTATTTGATTTGGATACGGGGGACTTTGAAAGATGGGAGGGGTGGCAGACTGAGAAATAAAAAAATAAAGGGATAGAATGGCTTGGTTCGTTTTTCGTTAGCATTTGTTGGCGTTATTGGCTTGGATAGACTGGTGTATTATCAAATAGACATCGGCTTTGGAAAATTGAGAGCGCTTTTCATCAACATCAGTTTTCTATCCCCTTCATTAGGGTTTGGTCTTAGTGCTACTGATAGAAAGTTCGGGGTATCGTCAAGGAAAGAGTAGATGATATCGCGTAGAGATGATAGGATGTTCAGTCCCTCACACAAATTGAAAGACCGGTTGAGTCGACCAATTGGATGTTCGAAGATAGGCTCCCAGGAACACCAGTAGGTAGTAGCGCGATTATCGTGAGAGCCTGTGAAAGAATGGAAGGCAAGATGAGATTTAATGACAAGAATGACGGATCTGATCTTTGGTAATGAATATAGTGAAGAGTAGAATCCCAAGCACAACACTGCCTCGCCCTGTCCCGAGAAAAAAAACCAAAAAGAACACGTCAAACAACAATCACAATCGTCATGATATCGTCTTCAAACCCCAATCGGAATAATACCCGATCCCCAAAGGTTAGCCCTAGTAATCCGAGAAAGGTCGAACAGAGGTAGTCCCCCTCCCTCTAACAGCATAAGCAGTAGCAAGCGAGCTATAATCCAACGCATCACTAACAGGAAATTTCCCGGGATAACTCTCAACAGAGTGATACTTGCGCGCGCGATTCATCTGCACCGTCTCGGAATCCTCCGCCGCATTAACGGCCGCCCCAAGTGAGACAGGCTGCTGCGCCTTAATTCCAGTCGACGGACCAGGGTCACTGAAGTGATCTGCTACACGCGCTGGTGCAGACATGGACACGGGGAAAGGCATGTTCTGGACGAAGTGAGGCTGTGAAGTGCGTACTGAAACCGGAACCAGGCTTGGCTCGGCACGTTCCTCGTCGGAAGGCGAACCGTCCAGAGACCGTGAGACAACGGTCAGCGGTTGTTGGAAGATGGCTTTTGCAGAGCTGGCAATCTTTGAGAAGCTGCCTCGTGTGCTGGATCGGAACTTGCGCATGGTTTCGTAGATGGGGGAACTTTCTCGTTGATGTTCGGTATCTGGCTGTGGCGTGGGACTTTCTTGCTCTGATGAAGAACCCGAGTCTTGATGTCCCTGCTGTGGCCAGGTTGAGGTGGCTGGCAAGTTGGTGGTGCGGATGCTGTTATCGTGGTTCAGGGTATCATTGCCTGACGAAAGGTACCACTGGCGCTCTGTTGCTGTTGCGGAAGTATAGGCTGAGAGTGGGACAGGGCCGAGGATGGTGTTGGTAATGCTTGTTTCCGTAACACTGATGGCCATGTTGAAGGGTGGAAACTCGCGCCTTGTGTTCCAGAATGGTCGTATGAGGTAGGAGGCTGCGTAGAGCAGCTGCAGCCAAGAGAGAGAACCGATGAGGCATATTGTTTTTAGGAGGGATATGGGGAAAGCTGTGGAGGGGTTTTGATCCATGATGAATTGGGAGAAAGGAGAAAAGGGGAAGACTATTGGCGGGTGAGCTGGTGAAGATATGAATAACCTAAAAGGGTTCAGCAAGTCAACTACTATTTACAATTAAGGGAGCTACAAGCCTCCCGGGTACAAATAAGGAAAGAACCAGAAGTACCTTTAAATTTAGAGAAAAGTAAAGAGTAAGACTTGAATACTCTGATATATTTGGCCAAGACGATATTAAGGACATTATCTGTAAGCACACACCGACCTGGTCTTAGATGATCTTTCTAGATTGCAGTCTTTTTAGATATATATGAAGGCGACAAAAGCTAACCCGTACCGAAGACTTCCTTATATCTAACTAGAGATACACATGAAGAAAATTCAAAAAAGCGAAGAAACGAACAATGCAAAAAAAAACAAGGTTTGACATGGCAAAGAACCGGAAAGTCGTTATAACTGCAGTGATATCTCGTGCTCGACTGCAAAAATAACCTTATTCGTAGCGTTCAGGGGAGTTTTTGAGGTCTCAAAAGGCTTCGCATGCTCTAGACATATGTGCTATATCCGATATCGCGATCCATATCGGACTTTGAATGCCCAAATCGTGTTGTAGTAGTAGATATTTTGTTGGTGCTAAGAGCACTACCGGTATCTTCTTTTAGGGGAGGTTCATCACTCTTGCTTGAATTGGGACGAGGGAGAGGATATCGGTATCGGTATAGGCAACGAACTGCACCGAAGAGAAGATAACCAAGTATCGTTACCAAAGAACCCAGCAAAATGTAAAAGCTGGGTGAAAATTTCTCGTCGGAACAAGCCATCGTTGTAATGATTCTTAATATAGATGGTTTTTGAAAAGTTTGCTGAGGGTTAGGATAGTAGAAAGGGAAGAAGATAAAAGAAAAGGGTGTTGATATACGTAGTAACTACGTATATATGACAATATGATAGAGCCATGCCCGGGTCAAATGCTGTTCACATTTTCTGGTACGTTCCATGGTCTTACAGACATAGTCATGGGAATAGTCACAACTTTCCAAGGTTGGCTCAGAAGAGTATGAGGCATAGGGATCCAGAACTATATGGTTAATTCCCTCGACTACCTACCTTGAGGACAGAGGCAATGAGCCCCAGAGCAATAACGATACTGCAAAAGTTCATCTACAAGCGTATCTTTGGAATGACCCTCGACCACAATACACATTCATCCTTAACCTCTGTCTAGAAACTCAAGGATAGACCACAGGTTGAGTATAGCCAAATTAATCTCAGGAACACCTTCTACCACGCTGAACCCATTTAACCAGCCTAGATTATGATTGAACAGTGCATCGAGGTACTGACGATCATGTCCAGAGTAGCCTGGACGGTCAGTCCTTCTTTGAAGAATGTTCACTCGAAAGGTGAGCCTGTTACGAGCGAAGAAATCATTCAAGGTCTTCGCTGCCTGCTGCGGGCGCTCTACCCACCATTGGGGATGTATTAAAAGTAGCTGCCTTATCAGGGCATTGATCTCTGACCTCCAAAAGGCAGGATCTTGGATTAGCCTCGGGATTATCTCTGTGCCTCTGATCGTGCCAAGATAAATTCCACCCAGCTCACTCTGATTGATCATCACGGGTGGACTGGTTTGGAAAGTACTCGGAGTGACCGGCCTCGACAGCTCTTTCGAAGGTGATGCAGTGGTAACATCTGAATTAGATTATTATACTTTGAACCGATATTGTGAATTGGATATACATACCATGGTCGGATAGAGTATCCCGCACGGTTCGTGTTTGATCAATACGAATAACCGGGGTCACCGAGAGGAGCTCTTTGGCATATGCTGCGGCCACTGCCGCGGCATATCCCTGCCATTCTTTATTCTTATGCGAGTCGGCATAATCGCAGATTCCACGAATGACCAGACACGGATAATTATTCATGAGTCCCGCAGCTTCCATCTCCACGCAATATGCATCTAATTCACGACCCAACCGATCCCGTAATTGACTGTCTTTCACCACTTGATTCGAAGATGCAATCAGGCCATAGTGGACCATAGGCTGGTTTGAATCCCGCGAAGGCCGGGGAACGGTTTTGGTCTCATCACAGTCATAACAAGTCTTAGAACTTGGATTGACATGATTGTGATCGGCACGATATAAACGATCCTCCTGAGTAGGGCGGGCCAAAGGGGAAGATTGTTTGGGTACCTTGCGTTCGATCTCGGCAATAAAATCCACGAATCGGCCCCGGCCCGTGATATGATTTGCTTGCAGTTTAGAAAGAGCAGTCAGGAGGATCTGAGGAGGATGGCTGAGCATTCCTGTTCGCTGGAACTGGCCGCCATTCAGCGCTTTGCCATGATCAAATTGCACCACTCCTCCATGTGTGTTCGTTGGCTTGCTGACAACGACATCACCCAGGCGAATATCTGCTTCTTCATTTGGTACCCCTCCTCCTATCCCGACCATCAGACCAAATCGAATAGAGCGGAAGCTAGATAATAACTGCACGGCAACTGTGGTGGCAGATGCGATGCCATATTGACCGTATGGCAAGCATGCAATCACGACATTGTGTTTTCCAATGCTTCCAAGAGTGTAGGCATTATGGTCATTCGGCTGCACGGGCAAGTCTTCATGGACTTCATCAAGAAGCACTTGCGCGGCTGCCATCTCCAGTGGTAAGGCACAGATCCACCCGACCGTGTAATCATTATGATTTTTGGTAGCCATAATAGACCGTATATCGATTTAGTATAAATTAGGTCATTGATCCAGAATGTAATATCAAAGGCTTGAAGATACAGGGAACAGATGCGGAGTCATTCAGGAGAAGAGGGGCTGAGAAATTAGTGCCTTTTGTGGGAAAAATACAAGCCAATTTCATGACTAGACCATAAAAAAACCTTGTCTTCTGTTTAAGGACTAGGGGGGAGTATACTAATGGTACATTATTCTAGACTGACGCCTTCTCAATGTTCTCACCGCCTTCGGGTGGGACTGGTCAAGGAAAAAGTTGAAGCTATTCGGCCCAATGCACGATACGATACCCGATTCGGGTGTTGGGCGGTAGTGTAGTCGCTACATCCCATAGTTTCGCTAGTCACGCGGGGGGAAAAGTTAACACCTACATATGTAGGTATTTTCCGACGTTACTACATATATATAGTGCTTTAGGGTAAAGGGCTTGAATCTAATTTGGAAGAATCTCAAAAAGGGAAGGAACTATGTAACTTCCGAGGTCGGCTCTTGAATCTTGGAACCTTGGAACTTATAGATCGTTCCCGCGGCTCCACTTGGCTAACTCCACCTCTTCAACTTCCTCTCTCTCTGTGTTCATGTCCCATATAAGGCACGCTACTCGTTCCATCATGTCTGCTATCGCCTGCAAACATCTTCGTCCACGGAAGTTCGCACCTCTCGGTTCTACCGAAGGGTCGACTACCCCTCTCTTGAAGGGAATTGTGTTTGATGTGGATGGGACTTTGTGGTGAGTCACACTCTGTTCCTTATTTTCGTACGAATTATGCGCTGTAATTATCCCCCCCCCCCCCCCCCCCCTGTTAGATATCCACTATGTTGCATGCGCCCTGAAGGGTTGATATGCACCTTGATACTCTGATTGGAAGCGGGCAGGAAATGGAGATTGAAGCATCAATTTGAGATTCAGGCAGAAACATACTCTCCTATTCGGGAAAGTATACCTTGTGTTGGACTCAGATGCCTGGCTTGAAAAATGCTTGCACGGATTGCCCGAGAACTTCTCGGGTTAGCCCCTTTTTGCTTGGTGACCTCTGGATCCGCTCCAGGTTAGATGATAATTGCTGCGGCCTGGGATTTGAGATGTAGTTGATGACTAGAGGGCATTTCCATGCTCTTCTAGTCTTATATCATGTTCCAGCCTTTATATCTTGTTTAATCGCGGGGGAATTGAGCATGTTTGGCGATTCCAATGATAACAAGCTCTAATCGTGTCATCAAGTCAACTTTATATTGACTGAACCTAGCTAATCTTGACTAGTTTGCCACAGCACCACATGTTCAGCGAAATGAGGTATGGTCTACTGCCCGTGGGTTATTCAAACCCTAACCCCTCCTAAACCTCTTTAACAAATCTCCCAATATAGAGAAGCACTAGGGATCGATCGCTCCGTCGACATCCTCCAGCACATCCGTGAACTCCCAACCGCAGACCAAGCTACAGCCGTAGCCAAGGTGCAAGCAGTGGAACGCCGAGCCATGGCCGACCAACAGCCGCAGCCCGGCCTGGTTCGCCTAATGGACTATCTTAAATCCCGCGGCTTACGGCGGGCGCTCTGCACACGGAACTTCGAGTACGTTATAGCAATTAACGGAACCAGGACATAACCTTGGAGCCCTCCATTCATATTCATTCATGTTGCGCAATGTACACACAGTGCTAACATAGATATTCGAATCTCTCAGAACACCAGTCCAGAACCTGATTGACAAGCATCTCGATGGTCATATCTTCCTACCAATCATCACGCGGGACACGCCGAATCTCCTGCCCAAGCCTGACCCCGCGGGCATTCTGCATATTGCGAGTGAATGGGGTCTTGCTAATGGTGAGAATTTGATCATGGTTGGCGATAGCATTGATGATATGACGGCTGGGCATATGGCTGGCGCTGCGACGGTGTTGCTTTTGAATGAGCTGAATGTGCATTTGAAGGAACACCCGCATACCGATCTTTGTATTAAGCAGTTGGATGATCTAGTCGGTATTCTAGAGGGGGGGTTTCTCGGGACTCGAGAGAGTGATGAGCATGGCGCGTGATCTAATTCTCGCGTTGTGTCATCTCATGGTGGGATTTACATAGAGGCTACTAGTTTATAGATATACTAGATAGTCTGTATGGGCAGCATGAGCGTGTACTACGTACAATGTGAGAGATATACTTACTGGAGTGAGAATTGTTGGAATGAGTTTTCATTTAATCGTACATACATTCTCAGCCTCGGCTGAGAGGAATGGTTGACACTGTGCTGTTTGCTATGCACATGGCTTTCGCCGGTATCTGCTGCTCACTTCTCATTTCACCCTCTTCTTACCACCCGCGGCCTCTGCCACCTCCGCCACCTCCACGGGGTCCACGTGAGAATCCTCCTCCTCGTTGTGGTCCACGGCTTCGGCTGCCACCTCTTGGTGGAGGACCTCGTGGAAGGGGCGGGTTCGGGGAGCGCGCGCGGTTGTTGTTCCCGGAGAAAGTTGATCGGCCACGAGAAGGTCCTCTGGATGGTGGATCACCACCACGTTTTCCTCCGACTCCGCTTGCGAATTTAATACTGCCGCGAGTATTTCCGCGCGGGGCAGGGACGGGGCGGCCTCGGCCTCGGGATACGCGGGACATCATGTCATCTTCTTCTGGGGATGGAGCTGGAGACCATCCCCTGTTTCTTCCGCGGGCTGACGTTCGGCTTGGTGGGCGGCTCTCTCGGGGCGGAATGACAGTGTTGAGGTTTGTGATCATGTCGGGATCGATGCCCTTCAGGGTGAATGATGATGACTTCCCGGTTTCTGCGCGCAAGGTAGTAGCTGGGCAGTCTCCCATAAGATGCTTCGCACTACAGCAATTCGCACAGCAGATTGACACTGTGACTTGGTTGGAGTGAAGATCTCTGATTGGAAACTTCCATAGAGAATCACATTCGGATTCCAGATGCTCATTGCCACAGTAATCACAAGGCACTTCGTGTGCGAAACTGCGTAGCTTTGAACTGCATTGCGGCTCGTCGTGGCCACGTTCGCGGCATCTCTGGCATCGTCGCCAGTCAGGACAGGTGCTGCTTTGATGCTGATTCCATGCACTGCAGTGTTCACACTTTATATTTGAGGTTAGTGAGATGAAAATCAAATAATTGGATGCAAGATAAAACATACCTCTTTTGCTGGGCAGACATCAGCCATATGGCCCTCGCATTGACATTCGATGCAAGAGATGGGAAGTTTGAGGTCTAGATCATGGATGTTGTGATCGAAATAGACGTACTTCGCAATTATCTCGAGGTCTGTCTGGCTTAAGTCCACCAAAGCAATAGGCGCATTTGGATACTTGAGTGAGAAAAGCCGGAATGCTTCCTCTTTCGATCCAGGTCCGGTTTGTGTAGATGCGCCTTTCAGATTCGCGTTTCCAGCGTTGGACCCATGCTGGTGGGCCAGAGTGGCAGGGTCATAGTCATTGGCATCATCTATTCCCATCTTATCCCCTATGTTCAGTAGGATAGAGTCATCGGCTTCGGAACCAAGAGAATCTGAATCATCTGTGTCACTCTTGGAGTCAATCTCTCCATCTTCCAGCTCATCGTCACTTTGAGACTGGTCGTTTGCTGTGGACTTGTCTTCACCATTGGCCGAAACAGATGCACTGCGACTGCGCCAATATTTGTCATTCACCGCTTCAAATTGAGTAGGCTTGTCGTTTGTTGGCGCCGAGCGTTTTCCGAGCGTTGTGCGCACTGCAGCCTTCCGACCCTGGTTCCAGCTAATTGCAGGCGCGGTGTTGCCAGCGTGTGGGTTTGCGACGGTGGTTGGGTCCGCGTCGGAATCGGAATCTTCACTTGAGGAACTAGGTCCAGAGCTGGATGTGTCGTCAGGATTATCCACTGGCAAGGAGGTTGCACTGAATGCAACACCTTTTGGAACAAAATCAGATAGATCTGAGTCTTTCTTATTTCTGTTGCGGCGTTGTCGCTTGGCTGGGCGGGCGCTGTCGTGTGATGTGGAGCGCGAGGTGGAACGCGGATTCGATCGAGTGCGCGGTGCGCCAACCAGGGCTGTGCGCGAATCAGCCTCTCCGTCTGAGGAGTTTGCCATTATTAATTGGAGAAGTTTGGATAAAAGTATTGGAAGACAGATCGAGTGAGAGTCTTGGAGGATCAATAGTAGAGTTTGGGTCCCCCAGAAAATTTCACGGTAGACGATATCGACCACTCGCGCAATTCCACAATCGAAAGTATACGGCAGTGAAACATGAGGCGATAAGCCGTAGAGCCCATGATTTGGGTTCTGATAGAGTACTCTAGACATTTTTTTGTATTGCATAGGGACAAAAATGTAGGTTAATCTGATTTTTGATGACACTTTATTAATCAAATCATTATAGAGAGCACTATCTGACCTCGTTGAGGTTGTGTAGAACCGAGATATGCATACATAGGCGCTTATCGTAGGCGTAAAAAAATTGAAAATACAAGGTTGATATCTCTATGATCAATCCAACAGGTCAGATGATCAATATCAACATGATCTCGACGTGACCTAGACAGCGGGCAGACATCCATAACCAGTAAGCCCCTTTGACCCCGGGGCCACACTCAAACATCTTATATAGATTTAGCCGGGTCTTAATAATAGCTTGAATCATGATCCGAGTCATTAAAAAATCTCTTCAGACCGGGCGTTGTCTTAGGCGTAAGATCTACCCGTGAAGTATATAACAAATCGAGGCGATCGACGCCAAGAGTGGGGTTGATGCCGTCTTCTTTCGTCTCAAGTGCCGAATGTTATCATGAATCTTATGGATCATTAGGCTGAATATCCAAAGTCCTGTTGGCTATCTACGAACCGGGACTAGGCGAGGGCTTACAGCACCTAATTGTCAAATGTGTTTTCTTAAATCCATCAAGTCAGGGCACTCTCATCTTCCACATTAACCATGTCTCTGCTTATAAATTGAAATGTCTCATGTTGTCAAGGACAGAGGCCGTACTAGCGTCCAATTCTTCTTGTTAAATATAAACTTGATCTGGCAGTGTTGGAGAACTACCTAGGACCAGCTCTAAGTGGACGACCCAGAGTCTCATCTACTCTTCTTTACCGATGATAGACAAGACCACATACAAGCACAGCAACACCGAATGGTTTGGATGGAATCCCAGCTAATCCCCCGTTACCAAGTACTAGAACTGTTATACAGAACGAAGGCGCATTTCCATGCCGACAGGATATGTGAATTTCTACGGCAGCAGAGGATCGTAAATACAATGAAAAAGAGATCTAAAAGACATTGGAGCGCAAACTAGCAATATTTACTTTCAGTTCCTCTGGTAAAAATTATCCTAAGGCTCCATTGAGCCTTTCACATACAAGCACTACTGCCGGGACAAAAGCCGCGCCCCAGAGCCCATCACCAAACCCAGATTTCAATGTTTCCTCCCAAAGAGTCCGGTACATAAGCTTTTGGTGCCAATGATGAAGGCTGATCCAAAGTTCAAATACCTGGTGGGGAAATAATCACCTAGTGCGGCCTAGCAGCCTAATGTACGAGCTATCAACGATTTCAACCGATTGTTTATAACGCCTGGTAGCATGTTATCCCAGGGCTAGATTAGCACCATCAATACGAATGAAAACACCTAGTGGTTTAGGCTGAAGAAGACCGTGCTCTAGGCATGACAGAGTATTGCGTATGGAGCCTTCTCACTCGGGATCTATCACGATGCACTTTTGGCTATAATGAGGTTGGAACCTTCTTACTATGCAGACACATATGCCCTGAGGTTTGAAGGAATAATTGCACTAAAATAGTCAGCCACTTATGTGGCCTCTGTCTTTAATGACGTAAGACTGTAGTGGTCTAATCTACTCAGCCCAAGGTGATATTAGGGGTGTTCTTTTTAGAGTTTGTGTCTGGATGTGCTATTCAGATGGACTTTCTGGAGGGCCTTTTTAGATGTTTCTAAATATGTCTTTCTTAAATGTATACCTAGGTGCTAACAAGCATAATCATTTTGGAGTCGTTGTTGAGTAAAGGTGGCCAAGTTGTGTATAGCCCATGGATGTCTCACACTTATTTGCCCCATAGAAGGATATGTCAACGATAAGGAATATTTCAAAAAAAAATCCTCAAAACAGACGGAAGAGAAAGATAAATATTTATGAAACTTCCCCTTTACTGGATCCTTAATATAAAGTACAACATACATATTTAGTCTTAGTCCTTTCGGGCTAGATTCCGCACATGCATACGTTCGTACATCGATGTACGGCAAATTATGCATTTACCTTTTTCTAGGCCAATCTAAAAGGTAGGAAATAGATTAGGGAGGGAAAAAAAAAACCAATCTAATTATAGACCTATAATGGAAAGAAAAAGAGATAGTCTAAGCAAAAAAAAAAAAAAAAAAAAAAAAAGGAAGATATGCCCAGGTGAATCAGAGCTCTTCCGCACCCCGTGACTGCAAGCCGATCCGACCGGCAAACTCCAGTCTGGGCCGTGCCACCTCATCCCCACGCTCCTTTTCATTCTTCTTTCCTTCTCTTCCAACCTATTCTTTTCTTTTGGATCCAACCGTCAAGCTGGCGTCCGACAATTCAAAAGTGTCTTCCCTGTTGACCCCCCGTGGGATCTCCTTCCCTCCGGATGTTGACACAGGACCGCACCGGTTATCTCCAAGCATGACCTCAAAACAAGGCCGCCGGAGGCGGTCCAGCAGTCTTATCTACCAGGAACCAGCTGAGTCTATCGAGCATACTAGTGATCAGGCCGCATTGCCGAATCTGAATGCAAACTGGGTGAATGCCAAGGGTGAGTGAAAGAAGATCCTGGAGACCACATATATCAGAGAAACCAAGGACTAACGTGGGATTTCGTGCTATCTGTAGGTGCCTGGACCATCCATTTCGTGTGCATCGCCGCTCTCAAGATTTTCTACGACATCATCCCGGGCGTCTCGCAGGAAACTTCGTGGACCCTTACCAATATCAGCTACATGTTCGGATCTTTCCTCATGTTCCACTGGGTGCGGGGCATTCCGTTCGAATTTAATGCCGGTGCCTATGACAATCTCAACATGTGGGAGCAGATCGACAACGGTGACCAGTATACACCGGCTAAGAAGTTCTTGCTCTGCGTGCCTATCGTGCTCTTCCTCCTCAGCACTCACTACACCCACTTCGATTTGACCCACTTCACTATCAACTTCCTGGCCACATTGGGGGTGGTCATTCCCAAGCTGCCTTTCGTATGTCATATCTGTTCGGAACCAGACTAGCGAAACTCATTTGCTAACTTTCTTTAATCACAGTCGCATCGGTTGCGAATAGGTCTCTTCTCCGATATACCCGAGGAGTCATAGTGGCTCCCATTTAATCTTTCCTTTTTTCCCTCTCCGCTATTCATGTTGGCGTATCCACGGCCTCCTTGATTTTCCGAGCTTTCTCGCCTCTCCTTTTCTCTATAAAAGGCCTTTGCATTGCGAACTGATTGACGGGTTTCTTGGCCGCTGCGCATCCTATTTCTCTTGTTTTTTCGTCAGCAAATATGAAGACGCAGAAGTCACTGCGAACAAGTCCAAATTCCCCTCTTTTCTGTCCCAGGCGGCTTGTCCTTGTCTAGATTCCCAAGTATTCAAGCCCTGCATTCTTTTACCTCGCAAGCTTCATCTTTTTCGGGTCTCTCTCTTTGAAATCTCGGGCTGTGTAATGTAAGGGATTACCGCCGTTGCAATCTATGCACATGGAAGTAAGAATTTGTCCTTATGTAGAGCTTTGATAATGCAGGTCAATCTCTTGGCTGGGGCCCATGCGGGGGCCCATCATATGTTTGGGATTAGGTATTTGTCACCTCTCACCTACATATATGTAGGCCTGGAATATTCGAATAATATAACAATGCAAGGTAAACCATGCAGACAATACTTGGATTATAGGTATGTACATATACTACTATGTATGTGCATAACAACCGTAATCCAAGAACATACAAAATATCTTCCATATCTTTGTTCCCTTAGTCTACTCAGAATCTGTTTATAGATATCCCCTTGCTTCTTTCCATGTTACTGAAATAAACTGACATCTCCAGCACTATGTACCTACCCTGGGGCTTTTAGATTTCAGACTTTCGCCAAAACAAACATCTTATTACTTACTTAACCGACCAAGGGCCTCACCATGCAGTAGCCTTGTTAATTTCTCGCCAATTACTCGTCAATATGTGCCCCGGTCCTTACAGGAAGAAATGCGAAGTTCATTGTCTGTATAGTTTCCACCGCCTTTGTTTCCGCCCTCAAAACAACAAAGTTCAATCTTTTTATAGAACTGATTATCAAAACATCTCTTAGTTTGTTGACTGCAGTGGTATCCTACCCTACCTCTAGAAATTACTTTGGATGCCTTTATTATACTCTTGAATAATGTCACATATATCAACGTCCAAGTGCCTACTGTTCTGCCGGACATATACCTCCAGGGCTCTCTCGACGCGTCATACGCCCTCCGCCGCGATTTCTTATCGATAAGCGTGTTACTGCCAGCTCAAAATGTATCTTTTCAGCTGGCTTTTCAAAACCCCCCCTCTGCCCATGACGACCATGGACGAGGTACCATATCGGTCACCCGTACCCCTTCAATGGGAGCTAGCTCGACAGACAGAAATTTTCCTCGAAGATAGCTTATGTATGTTCCCTATCCTCGTGCTTTGACGCCACCCCAAAAGAGCCGCTGCTAATAATCTCCGCTTTCTCAACTAGGGCCCCAAGCATATAGCCTTCTCTACAATGTTCTTGCATCGGGCACTATCTCATCAACAAAGGCAGTGATTCCACTGCCGCAGCATCTGGCTGTCGCAGCTACCATGCTCGTGCACCCAAAAACAACGACGCGCGCCGAGTCCGAGTACGAAAAGGAAGCACCCAATGCAGCTTTGCGATTTCTTCGATTGACGAATTCTCTTGTTGGTCCCATGGATGCAAAATTTAATCTTGCTTTCGGCTTCACCCATTTTGAATCTTCGCGACAGGGTAGGCGGCGTGGGGAGAGCCCGATGGTCGTAGAGAATGACAATCCTGATACCAGGCCTTTGAATACGAAATTCAACAAAGCTTCTTCAGTGTGGAGCAGTGCAGAGGATTTCTGGCACGCCGTCGGCTGGGCATTTAATTGTTCAGTACTTCACCCGGCGCGTTGGGAGCGCTGGCAGATATGGCTCCAGTTTATGTGCAACGTACTTGAAGACGATTGGAAAGAGCGTGAAAAAAAGTACCAAGAGGCAAAACAAAACCAAAGAGATACCTCGGTTTGGTCGGAGAGATCTGAGTACTCAGGGAGATCGGAGGGGGAGGACTCGCAGGGCGCTGAACAGGCTGAGAAAGGAAACCGCAGAGGCAGAAGACGTAAGGCGAAGGTAGTGGAGGTGCATGATGACCTCGGAATCTTTCGAGAAAGCCTGATCTTCCGTTACATCGTATCGAACACCACAGCTGGACGGGACCGCAGAATTATGCGGGCAATCTTTGCCAATGGCAAATCAAATCTCGGCGAGTTCAAAGAGGTATTCACCGATGAGCTGAGAATTCCTGTTCCCGAACAAGACTCGCATAATACCAAGAAGAGAGCAGGCGACATCAACATTGACAAGGATGACTATGGCGACTACCTGAACAATTCAGACGAGGATTTCGAAGCTGACCAAAGCTCAATCTCGGCATCTCCTCCAGGCAAGGGATCGAACGCTAGCAATACACGGCGCAGCAAGCGCACCCGACGAGGAACACGAAATGCAATGGACGAAGCCACAGACCCTGTCAAGATGCCCAAAGAAAGCCAAACACCCTCCCACGAAAGCAATCTATCCCCGCTAGGCGGCTACATCTCCCTCGCCCTCCGCCAACAACTCCTCAGCATCCTCTCCAGCGTCTCAGAGAAACTACCGCGGGACTTCATGCCCTTAGACGACCTCTACGGCATGTTCGTGGAGAACATCCGCGACCTCTCCCTCCCGATCTTCCAACACTTCATCAGCCCCTCCAACCTCCCGCACCTCCTACCCGAAGCAGACTCCACTCTCTGCGAACTCCTCCTCTTCGTCCTCCGCGAGAGCTCCGCCCCCAGCTCCGATGATAACTACCTTACCCAGGCCAAGCTGGAGAAATGCTTCCTCCCCTACGCGGCGGCTACCCCGACCCTCGGGAACAATGCCAAGGTCTCCCTTCTGCTCGAGGCGTTGATGGTACTCTTGCATAAAAGTAAGATGCTCTCTGTGACCCCGTCGCTGGCAGAAGCCGTCCGGTCTGGGATTGCGCGTCGTGAGAAGGCTAGTCGTGACCGGGACTCGGTTGAATGGGCCTACTTGCGGGAGAGTGGGTTTAGGATGCAGTTTATGGTTGAGCATATCTTACCATGAAGCCTTTTTTATGAGATCGGGAAGGACTGATGTTGTGGTAATGACGTTCATGATGACAATGTGACTTGATGATTGGGTTCTGAGGCGTCTATGGGTGTTTATGGAGCATTTGAATGGAGCGTTTGAAGGACCTTTGTCTTTCTTCGGTTTGAATATAATGGTTGTGATATATACTTAGGGGATTATGGAGTCCCTGTGCTATCTATTAAATGCATTCTTTTCACTTACCGTGAAAGGATTATGCCACGTATGTGTTTTGTGTCTTTCCTAGTATTTTTTGACGTCTTCTTAGGCGTATACGAAGACGGTAAAAAGCTTCAACTGTGCAGAGGACTTTTCTATGTACAACCTTTGACTCGGTGTTTTCTAGAAAGTGTTTAACGTTTTTATTATATGACTTTGAGTATAACTGCTATCTACAACCACATCGCATCGAAAATAAAATAAGCAACGGTCTGAAGCGGGAATCATAGCACGCATATAACAGAATAATCCACCAACACAGAAATATGTCAATGATGATATCCGCCCACATAGGCAGGGGGAAATATAACTTAAAAGAAATAGAAATGATGGCAGGAAAACATAAGGGGCAAGTGAATAGTTTACCGGGGCGGCCGGGGCCCAATAATCTGGCGCCTAGCACCGCCAACACCAAGGCCAACACCGCCACGATTCTGATTGTCACCACCCATATAGCCATACTGATGGACATCCCAAGACTGGCCTGGTCCCGAGCCTTGAGAGCCGTCTTGGCCACCACGTTCGGCCGCAGCTGCCGTTTGCTTCTGGTTCTCTGCCCACTCCTCCTGGCGCGCCCGTTCACGCTCCATCTCTCGTTCCAAGAGAGACTTGGATGCCCAGCCGCCGGCTTTGGTCTTCTGCTGTGAAGCTGCGCGGCGGCTATTCTCGGCGTCGACTTCGGAGGTCGAGGTGTAGTCTTGGAATCGGTGGGAGGCTGGGGCTGGAGATGCGGGGGCTGGGTTCGAGGAAAGGAAACTATCCACGCGGCTTTGGTGGGCCCGATTGGCGTTGTAGGCTACTGGGTCCGGAAGCGGCCGGGGCGAGGCAGGTAGGTCCCTAGGAGGGAGCGCCGGCGAGGCAGAGAAAGATGATGGTTTTGGCACTGGGAGGGGACGAGGGGGTTGGGGTGGTGCTCGCTCTTCAACGGGTTCGGGTTCCTCTGCCTCGGAAGTAGCGGGCATATCCTGCGTGTTCTGCCACTCCGTACGGAGGAGTCGCCGTTCTTGTTCGAGAGAAGAAAGATCGTAGCTAGGCTTGGGAGGCACGGGACGAGGGCGACTTTGACTGCGAGGCTGAGGCTGATCGCCGGTCTTTTCAAGCTGGACTTGGCGTTCGGTCTCGTACTGACGCTCCCGGTCCTTTGCCAGCTGTAGCTCGCGCTCGAGCTCTTTGATGCGGCGGCTTTGGGTTGTTTCTTCGACCGCGCCGGTGACATCACTAGCCTGGGGGTTGGAGGCTTGGTACTGACTCAGGAACTGACCGTTGAGACGGTTATCGTTCAAGGTTCGTCTCTGTTGCCGCTCCTGCTCAAATCGGTCCTCGGCTTCTTTTTCTTCCGCTATACGTCGCTGCTCTTCCGCTTCCCATTGGCGCTTCTCATCGTCCCAGCGCTTCTTTTCTGCTTCCACCTTGAGACGTTCTTGTTCCCTTACACGAGCAGTCTCTTCTTCCCATCGGCGCTCCTCTTCTGCCTTGGCACGAGCCTCCTCTTCTGCAACCTGTCGCTGGTGCACTCGCTCAGCCTCTTCCCTCTCTGCGTTCTGTTGGCGAATCCGTTCGTCCTCTTCACGCCTGCGCTTCTCTTTCTCTGCGAGGCTTGGTACAGCCGGCCCGGGAGTGGTGATCTGTCGGCGAGCACCAAATGCAACCCCTTGATTCCCTTGGCTAGCTCCCCCAATGTAGCCATATTGGTGAATGTTCCAAGCTGGCGTAGTATCCTGCTCATCTCCCTTCTTAGCCCAAGTACTGTATGACCCAGAAGGCTTCGCATCTCCGACGTTGCTGGAGGAGCGGGCTGACCGTGGTGTATATGCTCCGGTGCTTGAGGAACCCGTCGCATTCGGGCTGACCACACCGCGCTTACTCTGTGGGCCGACGGTTCGGGGAAATTTGTTGGGCGCAAGGGCATTAGCCCGTCGGCTGAACGCTGCCAAACATTGGAGAACCTGCGCTGGATCCTTTGCTTCGTAGAGATCAACTGTCAGGAAGACATCATGCGGAGGAAGGTTGAGCGGTGGTAATTGGCATGCGCGCAAGAAATGCGAAATATTCTCCATTTGTACAAATGGTGCGGACAACTGCTTAAATTTCACGCCCGGTGACACAACGAGGTTTACCAGCCTTGTAATTCGAGGAGTTAGCCAGTGGTCCATAAATATGTGGTACTTTGAAACTCAGATACACTTACTTGCAAAGAGCAACACCATCCTTCAGGCCTTCGAGCAAGTCTGACGCTGCCAGTTTCTCATGCAACACTTCCTCAATCCAGTCGCGCACCTCCGCGGCTGCCTGCGGGGTATAGCGGGATAGGCGCATATTGCGCAAATCCTTATCCAACGAAGTCACTGAAGCCATGATGTATCGAATGATCGATGCTCAAGTGTGTTGAAGTGTAGTTGGACTGTTGTTGCCACCCGGGTGGTATGTATCCCTTTGCGGGTGCCTGACCGGCCTTAACGGGGGCAGGGATTGGGTAGCAGAAGGAGGGCGTTCGTTGACACAATTAGAAATGATGGGATGAAGAAAATGATTCAATTACTAGAAGTACAGAAGTTTTCTAGTAAAGTCGTGGATGTTTTTTTTAAAAAAAGAGAAGAAAGGGAGAGAAAGGCTAAGAGATGGAGGGAGGAGTGGAATGCCTGGGCTGTGTTTATCCCCGATGACGTTCCTGATGGTCTATCGCAATAAATACTGACCACCGACTTTATTGTAGAAAATTGTATAAATATTATGCATTATGGGGTTATAGGAATTGATTTGAATCATCCTAAAAAGAAATTTAAAAGATATTAAAAAGACATTAAAAAGTTATTGTTGAATAGTAATTATAGCGTCAATGGTATTGAAAATAATTCTATATTGAGTGAAGAGTTGTATAAGCGGCCGAATATTCTACTATTCTACTATTCTACTTCTTTATAAATAACCTATAAATCTATAAAACTTCTACGGAGTAATGTCGATATAACAATTCATGTAGAAATCACCTGTATACTCCGGAGAGACATAAGCGGTGAATCCCAAAAGCCAATAGGACCGAAGTCCCCAATGGTCGCTCTATGCATTGCGATATCCCGCCTCGATCTTTTTTGCGACTCTTTCTATTCTACACACTCAACAATGGTTAACAGCTTATGGTTTAAATGGAAGAAGCTTCGCCTGCCCTGGCGCAAGTCCTTCTTGGTCGGTCAGTATCCGCTTGATGTTCTTCGTGTCACAACTCAGGACCATTAACCGTGTCTTAGGTGAGGATCTCGCCGGCAATACCTTCTGGGAGTTCAAAGATGTGTTGAACGCAGCTCGCTTCCGACGCATTGTTCGATTTGATCCCAAAACACATTTCAGTGATGTTCAAGTATCACGTGAGTTCTGTCGCAGGTCGCAGGGAATATGCAAGCTCGGGCTTGGACCACATGTCTCTATTCCGGGACAAAGCGGAATGAAACTATTGAATCATAACTAATATACCATATCAACGCAGCGCAATGGCACCAGTGGCTACGACATGTTCGAGAACACCCCCCGAGCATCCAGGAGCAGCAGCAGGATCTTGTTCGCCAGGCGCAAATCAAACAACTCGCTCGACTCGCCGATGAACGCTGGGCCAGCAAGGCCTCCTTCCTCGATAAGCCCAAGACTCAACAACAACCACCAGCGACCCAAATAAATGAGGCGACTTTGAATCAGCCCGTCAACACTGCTCCCACACAACAAACCCCGGCTTCGACCACATCCCCCGACACAGCCCCCAATGTCAAAGCCGCACCCGCAGCACCGAAGACACAAAAGGTGGAGAACCCATGGGCCAAGGCAAAAAAGACCAACCCAGGCGAGGAGTGGCAACCTGAGGCGTGGTCTCCTAGTTCCAAGCGGTGAAAGGGTTATCTTGGTCATTTCTTCGGCATGCCATATAAACTCGACTTTTAAGAGATACGAGCTGGAAGGCAGGGGAAGGTTGTCGCCCTACCCTATTGGTCAATTCATCAGCAGAAATTTCTTGCAATGAACCCGGGTCATAGATGGTATCGAGGTTATCCCATGCCAAATACTCTTTGACCTCCACCCGCGCTCCTTGTTCTACGAGGATAGAGGTTATTATACACTATGTCCAACCCCATAGGTCATAGCAGGTGTGGCCAAGACGTCTCGAGGGTTTCAAAATAATCAGAGCCATATATATTGGCACTTGTATACTATGCTTCTTCGGCATCCAGCGTTTTCCACTCAATCTTACCATTCATCAAGATCTTCTCGGTTCTCACAAGTACACCACAACGCTAATTGACGGTAAATCGGCTGTCGAAAATGGCTACACTGAACGCCTATTTAAGCTCCGTTTTTACTAAATCCTTTGTCGTTACAACATCACGTGTTCTTAAAATATACTATTGAGAAGACAAGAAGTTGCCTTTTTCTTCTTCCACTTTTCTTCTTCCACTTCGATCGATCACCGCAGCAGGATGACTATAGTATACTACGCTCTCTACTGTTTGAAGACTACTAAGCCATCTCGTCGATTAGAGATACAGTTGTTACTAAACACAAAAAAATACTATCAATGTTAATACCTATAGCGAATATAGCACTTTTCTAATTGTAGCATCCTACAATAGTAACAGAGAGCTAGTATCGATACTGCTACACAAGGGGTCAAGATCAACGATTAAGTGAGCCAGTACGGCAATGTATTAGCTGCAGTATCACTCAGAGGGTACAAGACGGTGGTATAAGACTTACTAGGGGGAAAAGGCCGGCTTGAATGCTTCCGGTAGACCGTACAGCAATACTCTAATTACAGCATCTAGTGCCGGCTATAGCAAAATAGTGCAGACGCTTACTGGACAAAAAAGTAAGTGTCAATTCCCACGGTACAATATTCCGTAATGCCTTCTATACTGCCTCCTTTAGTAGCTATACAAACGTCCCGCAGGTTCTTCAAAGGTCTAGAGCGGATATTAATACTGAAGAGAGTTAATTCGGAACTACACTCGGCAGTGCTTCTCTCGGAGGCTATACAGCAGCAGTGTAGATACTGATCGATCATCGTACCGATATCAATACCTCTAGGGGAAGACTCAGTAGTGCACTCTAGGCTGCTTCTCTCGGGGGTTATATCGACCTATTTAAATACTTGTTTGATAAAGGGGCCGATGTTAACGCTTTTAGTGGAAGATTTGGTGACGCTCTTTAGGCTACCCTATTTGGCGCTCGTGAATCTATAACAGAAGGTATATAGTATGTTGTGAGGGTTATGCTTTTATAGGGTGTACTAGTTCCTCTATAGAGTAGCAATATACTACAGGTTGCTTCTTTCGATATATGCTAATAGAATAAAACGATGCTTAAAGTACTAAGCCAGGCTGTGCTATCAATGTTACCTAGGGATTTTTCTGCTATGGATTCTAGAATACGCAATCCGCCTCTAGATGTATTACTTACAGACCGTGGGGTATTTATTGGTACGGCTGTTACTAAAGGAAGGCGCTAATGTCAATACCCCTGGTGGAGAATATGACTTTGTAATTTAGGCCGTATCGTCCTAGGGCCTTGGAACGCTGGTAGAAATACTACTAGATGCCAATGCAGACGTTTAAGCTTCAAGCGGACTTTATAGTAGCACTCTTAAGATGGCATCGAATCAGAACTATAAAGGAGTAGTGAAGATGCTTCAAGAGGCCACTTGTGGTCTGTTGCCTAAAGACCTCCCCTCTTGATTCATATGGCCTACGACATATCACCTCAACCCGCTGAAAGCCGGTCATTATAAACCAAGGAATTGTGACAATATGGCGAGCTACATTCTTCACATTAGACGGACAAGATCAGTCATAGAGAGAGCTTTATAATTGGCTTCTAGCCGTGATCTATATCTAACTTTATAGTTAAGTGCTGTAGAGTGCAAGGCTAGTTACCATCAACGTTATTTGTATTAACAATAAGTCTACTAGTAGTGGCTACACAGGCACATGAAAGTTTTTCTAATATTTTCAATTTTCATGCTTTAACATTTAACATCCCCTTTTTTTTTTTCGTATTTTCCATGCTGCAGAGCAAGTGTCATTCAAGACAAGCAAAGATATCACAAATGCAAACAAGTCTTCCACCCCTTTTTTTGTATTTTTCAAATTTTCACACTTGTTGCAACATAGACACATCTCAAGCTTGCACGAAAAGCAAGGACATTGCACCCTTTCTTTTGGCCGTTTTGTGGTTTTTCACAGCTTTCGCATCACGAGCAATCTTTCAGCTCAGAATAAGTCAACGCAAACCTCAAAGATCAAGAACAATTTGGAAAAATAATGAAGCGTAGCAAATGGGTATCGAATATCAAACTCCAGACTCCGGAAAGATTGTCCAACATCAACAAGAAATGACAATGGTCAAATTAGATATAGACCATGCTGTTCTGGCATGCACTGGCCATATTCAAGGTAGCACCTTTGAATTTATCCTCATTTTGGACCATCTGATCGTTCTCATAGTAGTAAGCCAACAGGTACTTTCGGCCACGATCACAGAACCTATCGGCCAAGAAGGCAGGAGTGCTGTAACTGATCGAGCGAGTAGCCCGGCCCATCAGGTAGCAGATGTTGTGGGTAAGTTCTTGCAGCACGTCAGCAGGCTTGCGGTCCAAATTGACCTTCGAGTTAGTGAAAATTTCGTCGTAAATGACAATGTAATGGGCTGGACGAGCGGAACCCTGGAGAGGAGCCTGGGCTTGCAGATAGAAGTCCCAGTAGATAGGGCGGGTGATTCCACGGTCAACGACGCATCCGTTGAGTGGGTTGGATGTTCGATCTTGGTCCTTCGGATTGGTAGGGTAGAAGCGCACATTGTGGCGCTTTCCACAGACAACGATGGTGATGTTGGGCATGGTTCCACGGTATACCGCTTTGGCAGCAGCTTGAACCTTTGGAAGCTCCTCTGTAAGGACCATGTTGAATTGACCATCGCTAACGCCATCGCGGTACACGAGAATGTTCTGGGGCAAGTTGCCATTGTTGCTCTTTTGCCACAAAGCCAGCCGGGTAAGCATCATCTCCTTAAGGAATTCAACGTGCTCTTGGCGGCGCGTCTGGGCTCGAACTTCACCGGGCCATTGTCCCATGCGATGATCAGTGGAGGCAACGATGGCAGCAACACTGGGGAAGACTTCGGGATCTGTGCTGGACGGATGAGTGACATCTAAGCCGACGACCATGGTGTTCTTTGCTGCGCCAATGAAGCGTGCGTTAGCCGGCTGCAGGAGTTGATTACATCCTCCCATCTTAAGATTGACCTTCATGGCGTTGTTGCTCAAATACTGCTCATTGGCACCTGCAAACTTATCGCCTAGCATGCAATGTGTAAGGACGCCAGTCTTAAGATCTCCGGCATATTTGATGTAATCAAAGATTTTGCCTTCTGTGGTGGGAAGCAAAACAATCAAGAAGGGAAACTCTTTCATGATCTTTTTGAACGCCTCCTTGATCATGTCTCGATTTTCTCTATCATCCGAACCGATGAGGACTTGAAGATACGGCTTAGAGGGCGCCGGCAGCGACAGGCCATGATCGCGCAATTTTCTGTAAAATGCATCCATCTCAGGCTCAGGATTTTTGAGCTTCGCTTTATCATCACCTCGCTTCCGAATCCAAAGACAGGTCCATTTTTTGATGTTGGCACCCTGGGAGAACTTGGTGCCGATCAAATTCCACGAGCCATTTCGAGGGTTAGTGGTCTTCTTGCCGCCATAAAGCAGATTTGGAGGGTTCAAAATGCGTGCAGGTACAGTGAGCATCTCCTTGCCGGGCTTGATGCCTACCGCCTTGGTATGTCCTTCAGAGATCCAAAGAATGTCCAATCCCTCGGTCATAATGGAGGCATAGTTCTGAGGAGGTCGCCGGCAACTGAACTTGATCATGTTCTGTCGTTGGACCATGGATAGCTCTGGCTTGAAGGGTTGCCCGGGGATGACTTCACAAAGCTCCGCAGGAAGGTAAACCGGACGATCAAAGTTTCCAACGTTCACGATCGGCAAATCACCGCTGTGTTTGAGTTTCTTATTGTAAGCTGTTATTTCTTGTTAGCACAATGCATCTGGAATATCGACTGATAGGTAACATACTTCTGAAAAAGTATTCGGTAACAGTCACGTATTTTCCCTTCTTCTCATCTCCCATCCAGAACTGCACGTTGTCGGCACTGGATGCAACTTGTTTAACCCGTGGAGGGTTAGGGCTATTGCGTCCATCCCTAGGATTGGCAACTCCGAAGATTGTTCTCACAGGTTTTTCCTTCACCCCATGGCCATTCTCTCGAGCATCCAGATGCGATGCGTGAACTTTCAAACCCCTCAGCCACCGGTCTAGAAGTTTCCGGTCGTCCTTGTAAATTTCGTGAAAGGCATTGATTATAGCAACCAGCGAACCCGGGTTGAAGAATGCGCCGTGACTGACATTCAGATTGAGGAAAATTCGTCCAGCACCAAGACGCACACTTGAGTAGTAACCACGAGCGGCTTCGGCGCCACCCCTTATCTCCATTGACTGCTTTCGCTTATCCATCCGGAAGAATTTGTTTCGTCCCTTCCCAATGATGACAATGCTGGTATCTTTGTAGGGATAAGCACTCATGAGGATATTCAGTACTCGGAGACAGGGCGCTTCATTCTCAAGTTCCCTTCGGTGATTAACGTCCTCAAGACACGTCATCATGTCAGCTGGGGAATAAGAGCTTTCAAAGGTCAAAGTGATCTCCCAAGGGCCGGTGTAGGCTTTCGATTTCCCACTTCCATGGCCACTTCCATGCTCACTTCCGTTGCCCATGGAACAAATGAATGGCGCTCGATTCTCAGGAAGCAGCTCGGTTGTAACAATCTCAGTGGCCCCATCAGTGGCAATGCCGATTCCTTTGTTAAAGAGAGGGTACTTGCGGAACATGGTCTGAAGAATGAACATTTGCTGCGCTTTCTTCGCCTCAGGCTTGATCTTGAGGCGATAGGAATGAAACTTGATGTTCGGCTTGAACTCCATAGGGAAGAAGTTAGCACGAAGCACAGTTGAACGACCTTGGGTACCGTAGCCAGGACGCCGAGCCAAAGTGCCGGGCTCTGGTCGAGCCTTTGTAGACTCTGCAACATACCGGTCCTCTAAGGTCTGGACTCGAGTGCTAGGGGCTTCAACCGGGTCTGTCAACATTCTGTGCGCATGTTAAAATATAGTTTCCCCATGATTTAGAACAAATAAACTTACCCGGAGGGCGGTTCGGATCCGCCACGACCTCCACGACTGCTACCACGGTCATTTCCACGCCCACGATCGCCGCTGTAACCGCGGTCACTTCCACGGCTACTAGAGCCACGATCACCACCGCCACGGCCGCCTCGAATGGGCAGATCACCGTGCGCGCGTCCGGACATTTTAGCGAATATCGGTTGGATAAAAAGGGTAGTCGAAAAAAATAGGAAACGACGTAGTGAGACTGCGCACTTTGCGCGTGCTTGGAAAGTAATAGGGAGGCGACAACAAGGACTCGAAACCCCAGTTGGTTGGGTATTTCCGGAGAGGAGAGGTTCAAAAACAACAGAAATAACAGAAGAACAAATTTCAGAACAGGACAAGCGCGATCTTGTCCACCATAGATTTCCTTTTTCAAAAAAGGAAGAAAAAGAATTCAAGTTTCGCTTCGTTAATCTGTAACATGAGTCAATAACGATGAAACATTAGATTATTGAGATGTGCGAAGGTAGTGATCTAAAGACGGACCGATGCAGCAGAGCAATGGGCAATGTAGGGCACGCAATGCGATATGGCAAGTACCCCAATCCACAGCCAAGAGCGATGCCAATAAGAATATCAATTCAATGACAATGGAGAAAGTGATGCAATGAAGATGCAAGATAGAACGCAATGGTAGAATCTCTCATGCGAGTGGGGATGTGAAAAGAGATGGATGATGGTACAAGGGAGGGTCTTTAAGGGAAGAGAAATGGAAATCAGAGCAGACCAGGAAAAGGCAAATGTGCAACAGCAAATGGGAATATCAGAATGGACCAGGAGTAGCAAATGAAGGCTGAGGGGCACGCAAAATACCTGATCTCAATGAGCTGGCAAGTAGAAGAATGGTATGTCACAGATTAGGGCTTGGGGTAAAAAATGTGCAGCAATCAATGGGCAGCATGTGAGATACCGTGAAAGTAGCAAGTGAGAGCAAATGAAAGGCAATTGAGAGATTGGTGAATACCAAAGTAAAATAAATGACAGATTGGTGAAGATCAAAGTAAGGAAGATGCATACGCAATGACAGTGAGAGATGCAGAAAGTGCTCAATCTGCTTATATCATAGGACTAGCATACAATTGAAAGACATACGGGGTAATTCAGTGCAAAGAAGCAAAGTCCATACTCACCAAAGCTGTTTTGATGTATCGTGGAGAGGGAAGAAGAAAGAAGAAGAACGAGTTGATCGGAAATGGTATTTATAGTCGGCACCGGAGCATGAAGCGCGCGTTGGTAGACTTCAATGTCATATATTGAATGTAGGACTTGAGATATGGGACACGTTGTATGGGACATGGGTAGGGAGGACTAGGTGTATGGAGGACTCAAGAATAGAAGAAAAAGAAAAAAGAAAAGGCTAGCCACAGAAAGTCACCGTAGTAATGATAGTAGCAAGAGTGAAAAAGAAGGAATGAAGCTCACCAGTTTGGCCAAAGACGTATACCTCGAAATTCCTCAAGCCCGAAAAAAGAAAGGAAAAAAAAAAGATTTACAGCGGAAGCTGGATAGTCACAAAAGTATTATGAATTAGATATCCACAGAAGAGTCTAGATATTAGAATAGTCTAACATTTTGAGGGTGTAATCACCCGGGCCCAGGCCTGAAAACAAAACCGTAAACTCCAAAAGCAAACCAGATATTCCCAATGATATAACCCTAAAACACCGGCTGAAAGAAACAGAGACAGAAAAAAAGCAGAAGCAAAGATCCAAAAAAAAAAAACAAGTTTAACAGAGAACAGCTTCGAGAGCTTCGACGTCGCCACCAGCGCTGCGCACAGCCCTCAATGCGGCTTCGCTGAGCTTGCGACGTCTATCGCGGGCTTCTTGCTCGCGGCGAGCCTTAGTCTTAGAGCTTCCGGAGGGAGCAACTCCGGTTAGGATCTTCTTGCTGTCGTGAGCGGTAAAGTTGACGAACGATACGCTGACAGACTTGTTTGAGCCTCGGGACGATGAGCCAGATGCCTTAGCGGGCTTGGGGGCACTCATACTCTGGCCGGAGAGCTTGCGGCTGTGTGTGCGGCGATGGGTGGGCTTAGAGATAGATCCATTGTGGATGTCCCTGGGTGATGTGCCGGCCTTGGGAGAGAGAGATGGTGAACGGGAGACGTTGTGGACTTGGGAGGTGGTGAAGGAGGTGTCGAATTTTTGAGGCGTAGAGGGGAGCATATTAGATGAAGAGAATGAGTGGTCCGCCGACATGTCATAGGAGGGGTTGAATTGGATCATTAGTCCTCCTTGCATGATGTCATTTTGGCTTCCAACGCTTTGCGTGGTACGGACAGGTGTGGGAGATGCGAGGTAAGAGGCCTGTTGTTGAGCGACCCGAGAAGGCATGGGGGACCACCATTGAGAATCTTGGCCTTGAAGGTCTGGAGTGAAAGAGAGAGATGAGGCATGAAGAGGGTCGGATTGCCAAGAGGAGAGTGATTGGGGGTCAGATGAGTGAGACGAAGAGAAGATATCATCTGCGGAAGAAGGACTGGAGTTGGTCAAGGTGGAAGAGCTTGGGTGAGCAATGTAGTGCTGTTGCTGACGTGCTGACATTGCGATGTTCGGCGATGGCATTGAAACTGAGGGAGACTGGTGATATAGTCTTGCGTCGTACTGAGGAGGCATTTCTGCTGAGTCTCTAGGTTGGTTCACGATTTGTTCGGTGGGCATGTTTTCATGCTGAATGAGGACATCCGATGGAGGAGGTGACAGTGGCAGACGATCTTCGGAACTGTGAAGACTGAAGTTCTGAATTTGCTGGGCCCAGGCCTCGGGATATGCCATCCTTGCTTTGGATAGGTTGGAAGAGCGCATTATGCTGGGGGAGAAACTTTGCTTGCGCAAATGAGAGCGACGCTCATTCGGGCTGCGATGGCGGATAGATTTGGGAGTGATGAGAGCACTCTGGGTAGGCTTCCGTCTAGGGGTAGCGGGAGGAGTGGATGGCGAGGTAGACAGGGCGTGGGTTGCTGTAGGGCGAGAAGGAACTTCAAAGTTGTTCAGGTTGACATCTGAGATTGCAGAGGGGTGGACGGTGTCATGGAAAGCAAAAGGATCGACAGCGGCCCCGTCATTCTGCAGGGACCACTCATTACTCCAGGGTTGCGGTGATTGATGGCGTTTGGGAGTGGAGACAGTGGGTGGAAGATCGCCACAGTCACTCGATAGCGAGTCAAGTGGGAAAAGCTGGTCAAAATCAGACAACGCCGAATCTTTCCCATCAGCGGCACTGGTCTCCATGTTGACGTATTGGTTGAACAAGTCATTAAACGAATGGTCGTATGGTTGGGCGAACATCTTGTCGAATTTCCGTTTGCAGCGACAAGGTAAAAGTACGAGGCGATTGTGTAGTCAGCGACGGAAGATCCAAATACTTGGATGTGATTGGACAACCAAAGATATGGTCTTGAAATAGAGCTTTGGAAGGTTTGGGAATAGTTCGGGGGGATCGACCCGAATATCCGAGAAAGTGCAAAGGATGCAAATAAAGAAGCAAGTGTTTTAAATGTTTGAATGTTTGATAGATTGTCAATCAAAGAAAACACTGCAGATGATGCAAAGAAAGCAAAGCAAACAAACAGATGCAAGCCCTATTTGAATGACTGCCAGGGACACCAGCCTCAGTATTTCTGGACACATTCCAGGTGCTCTAAAGATGGAAAAGGAATGTGCTATAGAGGGCCCGGTTGGCTCCTGGCCGGCCCCACCAACCACCCGGAAGAATGATTCAAGACTCTCTAAGCCAATCGTAGTTGTGGAAATATGAATGGCTGGCCGAGCTGTCAATCTTCGCCAACTCCCAAAGAGGTTTCGTTCCGGATAGCCACCCGCGGGAATGCAACCCTCCTCCACTAAGCCAGAAACAGTGGAACAGTCATCAAATTAGTTAGTGAAGCGGGTCTGGGGAGGACTTAGGCATGTTGAGCCGATACCTTTGATTGAAGATCGGCATAACTCGTACGGAGTAAGAGCACGGCCGTTGGGAAAGGAAATGGGTCGGAACGCTCTCCGAGCCGTTCAGTATTGTCTGGGGAACCAGGACCAGCCATACAGCTGAAACAGAAGGATGATCGCCTACCAAGTTCCAAGGTTGGTACTTACAGTGTAAGCGTCATGATACCTTGTTATCCCATCATCAACCGCCCGAACAAGAGTCCACTTGGGTAACAGTATGATCGGCCGCGCACTCTGGCTACATACTTCTTTGACCTGCTCCATCATGATTAGCCAACTGATCCAATTGGAGTGGGTGTGATGTTGTCGAGTGGTCAGTGTCCGGTTGATGATAGACGGTCCGGAATGTGGTTGGAACGTAGAGAGGCTGGGCGGAATGTCACCCCCCTCCCCTCCCCGAACAATGCACAGAAGAGTTCTGGGCATTCGAGAAGGACAAAGGACTTTTTTTTTTGGCTCGCAGTAATGTATGTAGACCCACGGTTTAGTGGTTGAGAAAACCTGAACCTGCAGAAGATCACCGTTCTGGGCCCTTATTCGGGATTGTTTGCTTCAACCCCATGTTTCTATATTTGGCATAAAGTTGATCAATATAAGGCCATGTTTGAATGCAGTAAAGAACAGGCCTTCTTCTCGGTATGAAATAAGGATCTGACACCTTCTTTCCCTTTTGAAATAATCCAAGTGTCAAAGTGCAGTGCCCTTCCATGGCGTTGGAGCTTGCAGATATTTCTTGTATCTCAAATAGATCATTAGCCAATTTTGTTTAGTCGATCTTTGAACCTCCCATTGGTTTGTAATGCGTTGGCAGCATGTCAATGCGCGTACTGCTTCCTTTGGCATCCATGTCGTGTTTGGGTATATATAGTTCAGGTATCACAAACAAAGCGGCCAATACCCAAACAACAAACATAGATTCACGCGAGACTGTAATCTGGGTGAGAGTCATCCGGTGAAGTTGAGACCGAGATTCGGTATACCTGAAGTTCCAAGGGCTCTGGATCAGCCTGATAGGCCTGCAACCTGTCAGGCGGTTGTGGCCTGTTTCTTCAAACCGAGTCTAAGGCGCTAGTGCAGAATTCAGCCAGATCGCCGGCCTAAGTGGAATGCCTAAGTGGCATTTTAAAAGAGAGATAAACAAAATGGGGGCATTAGAAGAGTCGTAAACACAATACACCTTGGTGAGATTTTAG